GCGATCTCTGGTCTGGGCCAGCGCCTTGCTTGCATGGAGCGTCGCCAGCATTTTCATGGCCAGCATTTCCGGGCTAGAATGTCAAGATCAGGAAGAATCATGAGTCATAGCAAGCGACGGTCCCGGCTGTCTTCCAGGTTTTTTTGTGGGTGGTCCCTTTGCCCTTTCAGGTGGTACAGCACTGGAATGCCGGAGCACGAGCAAGCGGCTCTGCTTGGCGATGAGCCGGTGGCACGGGCGCTAGTGGCGACGCTGCTCTTCACCAGCCAGTCCTTCCTGCCGCTGGGTCCAAAAGCTGGGCTTTCGACCTTTTGGTTTAGAAGATGTCCGGCACAGCCTCCGGAGTCAAAAAGGCCAAGTGGGATCAGGGGCGTCAAGGATCCAACAGGTAAGCCATCTCTTTTTAGTAAAATTAGGTGCTTTGGGCGAGTGAGGACGAGCTTGCTCTTCGGGCTAGCGGGCCTGCTGATGCCCAGGCGTGGAAGGAGGTGGTTGATGGTTGCCGGTTGCGTGCCAGTTTGGGTCAGCTTGTTGAAAACGGCCTACTCGCCATGGGGGTAAGTCGCTGAGGTCCTTGGCCAAGAAGGGCCCTTCGCAGTATCTGCGGTCTCGAATTTGGCGCCTGGGGGGGCCCGTGGTGCTGGTGGGGCTGCCGGTGCACCATGCCGCGCAAGGGCTGGCGGGGAAAGACTGGTGGACATTCTCGGGACCCGGGGTGGCCTGGTTCCAACTGTGGCTCCTTGCCTTCGAGGCCGCCTTTGTAGCTGCAAGGGCTGGTGCCAAGCACCGCGAGAAGCCCAAGGCCGTGACCCTTTGGACATGCCTGGGGGTCATGGCTTTGGTCGCCTCCCTGCAGTGCCTGATGGAGTTGCATGTGGCAAAGCCTGTGGCGGCCATGGTGGGCCAGTGGAAGGGCCTCGCGCATCACCTCACGCACACGCCCCTCTACGGCGGCTGCTTCTTTTGTGGCACGCTCTTCGAGGCCGGGTCTGGACTGCCCGTCCTTCCGGTACAGCCGCTTCTGCTGCTGTCCGTTGCCTCGGTGCTTTTGTGCTTCCTCTTCGCCCTAGACCGGAAGCCATCCCAGAAGGAAAGGCCCACGGAGTTTGTGGCCGTGGCCCTGGGCGCCATCATGACAGTGGCCATTTGCGCGGGCCTTTGCAGCTTTCTGCTGGTCTCCTTCCAGCGAAAACGGCGCTGGTCTTTGGCTTGGTGTTCGGAGTGCAGCTACGCGGTGAACATGCTGCACCCTCTGGTGGTGGTGGCCGCGACGCCTTTGGCTGCCAGCTTGCCAGTGGGCTTGCTTGGGCGCTGCCTGGCTCTGTGGACCATGTCGGCCTTGGTGAGCTATGCGTGGGCCTGCCTGGCAAGGCGCAGCTCTTGGGTGCGAGCACTTTTGTAACCAAGCCGGAATGCTGTTGTTTGCAGACGTGGACACATTCAGGGCCACACAGAGGGAGCCCTGAAAGCTGGGCATGACATCCGTTGCTGGCTGCAAGCTTCGACGCTTGGCCATGCTGCAATGCTCGGCATGATTGTGGCAAGGTCAGCGACTGAGCACGGCTCGTATCCAGTGAGATCAAGCAAGCTACGTGAACATGCCCCAGGCGTCTTGAGCTGGCCTGGGTTTGGGCCTGGGCTGGCAGGCAGCACTGCTTTCGACAAAGCACATCGGATGGTTGGATGGCTGCAGAAACCAATAGCTGATGACGAGACAGGATACAGAGCTGAAGGTCGACTGCGTGACTGTTGGAGCCTTTTGTCGCTTATGCCTGTCACTTCCAGGCTTTGCAGACCAACCAGCTCGCAGCTCGCCCGTGAGCCATGGTCGAAAAGACTTGACGGCTCGGGCCCCCCCGAAATAATGAAAGCGACTTTTGTGGATCAGAATTGTAGACAGCTGTTGCATCACCCTAAAATTGAGGGCCAGGATGACCCCCCAAATTGTGTCTGACCTCATGACTTGCGCTTGGGCTTGGTGGAGAAGACTGGGTGAATGGACTGAGGACCCTCCCTTAAGGAAGGGGGAACTATGCTCATCAATGCCATCAAGGTTGGCCACCACGACCGGCAAACCCACCGAAGCTCTTAGATTCTTGCGCATTCAACTTGAGGCCGCGGCTTCGAGTTCGCTGTTTTTCTGGAGAACGACCTCCTGGCAGGGGGTTTTGGCTGCCGCAAACCGGCATTTGGTGCTGCTGAATCACAAGCAGTCCGGGCCGCCTTTTGTTCTGAAGTCTATGATTCACCGTTTAGGGTTTAGGGTGTCAACCTCTCTCTGACTTGAATGTGAGTAGGGGTTGTTGCGGCAGATGGCATTTGCTGCTGCTTGACTGGGTGTTTGCACCTTGGTACAGAACCCCGAACTTCTATGCATGGCCCGGGAAGCGCACGATTGAACTGACGCCGTACAGTGCTGCAGTGCTGCAGTTCCAGGTCCATAGGCTTCTTGAGAGCGCCCTCCCTACGCACATCCATGCCATTGACAATGCGAGAGGTGGCGCCGGACTTCTTGTGGCTCTTCCGAGCTTCCGCTTGGCTGCTGAAGGAGCCGCTAAAGCACTCGGTTTGAAGGCTTGTTCTGTTGCAGGTGGCACTTGGATGTGGTTTCACTCAAGCCTTTTGGTTGCGTGCGCAGTTTTCTGGCCAGCCGTCAAGGGCCACGCTGGCTCGCGCAGGAGGACCCCTCCTTGTTTTGCGTTTCAGCTTGGAATGACAATGGCCGGTGGCTCAGCGTTGCCAGTTCGTGCTGGTTGCAGCTTGGCACTGGCTCGCACGCACACCAGAAACTGGCTCGAGAGGCGTTCCCAGCCTCGTCTCCAACGAAAAGCGGCTCTTCCGTGCCCCACAGCTGCACGGCCGTCCTGCTTTGCTTTGCCACCTCGCCCAGTGTCAGCCAGCCTGCAGGTACGGATTACTTTCCGGGACTTGGGTGGATGATCCAAAACACAACCTGGAGCCTTCTGAAGGAGGAGAGGGTTGGCCAGGAAAACGTGTGCTGATTTGGACGGCAACTATGGAGAATGCAGTGGTTTTGGTGCTTTAGTTCAGCCATGGCTGCATTGCAGGGTGTCATTTGTCCCAGATACCTTGCGAAAGTAATTTAGTAGTTGGCATGGGAGGCCAAGGCAAGCAAGTGCTGGACTTGATGAGGGGATGCACCATCACGGCTGCACGGGGCTTGGGTTGTTTTGCCCATGGCACCCTATGAAGGAGTGGCCGCGTTTCCCCAGCACAGGCCTGGCTCTCAGCTGGGTCGTTTGTGGCTGTTGGGCTTCTCGTGGTAACTCTTCAACTTCCGACGCCAGCGTCAATGTCTGACAAGACTGAGCTGAAGGATGGTGAATCCAACGATTTCCTTATAATCAAAGTGTACAGTGACAGTCGAGGCAGCTTCGAATTCCCGTCTGCAGATTTCGGTTCTGTTTGATCTGCTCCTGGGACACCAGAGCTTTGATTTGGCTGATGCGCCATCCCCGGGGAGGGCGCAGTCCAGTTGCGCCAGAAGAAACAGGTTGGGGAGTCGCCCGCTCTTTTTGTGGAAGAGATACATGCAGTTAAAGCAACTACAGTAAGGAAGCCAAAGAGCCAGTACTGTCAGGAACTTGCGGGTTTTGCGGGTCTTTGGGATGGGACTGGCGCAACCGTTCAACCTGCGCTAGGCTGGGACCATTGGCTGCGGCACGGCTCTGGGCTGTTCCCACGGGAGTGCATCGTGCCGGAGGTGTCCAGGAGCTGAAGGGGCCCTTTGGGCCCATTGGAGCAGTCAATGCTCGGAGCTCCTTGCAGTTGAGGTTTTGGACCCCGAATCTGTAGGTTGGTGTTCCCTGAATAGCATGCAAACAGCATCGGGTTAGCGTGGGGTGGTCTGGGACTGCTGGTGTTAACTGGTTTCTTGTGTGGGCAGTTGCTTTTGGTTTGCGTCGGCGGAAGGTTGATAGCCAGCCACTGCGGAAAGCTTTGATAGCATACTGGGTGTCTAAGACCATGAGGCGGCAGCGTGTAAGAAGTCCTGGGCCCGCCCAGTGCCAGCTAAAGACTCGCATATTGGCAGGAGTCTTGACGAATATTTTTGATGGTGGATGGTGTGGATGAACTGTTCCACAATCTTACTTCTTTGGTTGCAGCAACGCCGCTGCGTGCCTAGAGGACACATCATTTCGACACGCGTGGCACGAACGTCTGGGACTTTGCTCACTTGCGTCGCAGGTCCACTTTGGAACGCATGTCTTGGCACGCCGGATCAGGTGAAAGCTGGCTCATCCATGGCCAAGAAGCTGAGCGGGACCTGCTGGCCAGAGAGCAGATGCAGAGCGGACTTGTCCAACAAACTTGCCGACTTGCCGATTGGCCTTGGATGTGATTCGTGGGGGTTGGTTTGGCAGCTGCAAGTGAAAAGGGCCTGCACCAGCTGGTACCTAGCTTTTCCCAGTTGTTTTGGGGCTCCCCCGTCTCCATCCCAACAGATGCAAGATTCTGCCCACGCTCGAAAGCCGGGGAAGCATCAGCGGCCAGGATGTCGACGAGCAAGCTGAAGCCCAAAGAGCTGGGGGATCTCAGCTACCTCCTGAGTGATCGCTACGAGGCCAGCGGGAGAAGGCACCGCATGCCCAGGCGAAGTCGGAAACGCCGCGGGACACAGGTAACATGTCATGTGTGTGTCTGCGTGTCAGCACTAGGGGCGGTGGCAAGTGGAAATCACCCCTCACCATTCAACACCCTCTCAAGGAAGCCGCAATCCGATCGCTGCTTTGCCTACTTGGACATTCCCTAAAGCAGGGCATCCCTAGACACGGTCTTTCAATTTCAGGACACGTGCTCAGACCGCGCCCAGCAAGACCATCATTTCGTCCCCCCTGCAGTTTTTTGTTTCCAGACCCCCTTCCCACAAACAGTTGAATTGGTGGTGCTTTGGGAGTTGGGAGTGGTGTCCGCTACACCAATTTAGCTGGGCAGATGAGACTATCATTGCAAAGGGGGTTTGCGACCTGCATTGCGCATGTTTCACTTCAGCTTTCTAATTCACCCATGAAGGTTTCTTTCTTTGTGCAGCTTGGTGAACTATATGTTATATAGTCCAAGAATGTATGGAGGGCTCTTGTTGTTGCAGGTGACCTGTTCGGAGGTCCCTTTTTTGGTGCACTCGGTCAGCTGGGCCCCGGCTTGGAACCGACTTCCGGCCGCGAGGAGGAGCTCCGCGCCAGCCTGCATCAGGCCATTGAGATCACGGAGCAGAACCTGCCGGCCCTGGCAAGGAACCAGGTGAGCGGTGAACGGTGCTCGCGTTGTGTGTGTGTGTGTGTGTCTGTGTTTTTGTAACTTAATACGAAAAGCTCAACGGATCCAATCCTGGAATACAAGCGTTACACTAAGATTGTAAGGGGATGAAGGGATATAAGGGTATGGATCTACATCACAGTGATTACTTTGCTTTTTAATTCCTTGGATTCAAACTGCGGGGACTGAGCTTTAGCCCAAGATGTTTTAGTGCGGACTCGCAGTAATTACTGATAATGTATTTACATAGCAGGCCTCACAGCAATCACACAGTTTGACTGCCCATGTTGGAACCATTCTTGTTCACCCCATTTTGGGACCATTTTCCCAATCTTACATGGCCACTTGACCGCTGGTTGGTGCCATGTTTGAGGGGGCAATGTATTTGTTGGGATGTCTACCCAGGGTACCCCGCAGAAGAAGATGGTCCGCCAGAGCCGTTCCCAGAATACCTAGGCAACTTGAGAAAGCCAAACAAGACATAGTGAGTGGGGTGACAACCTGCTGCTTGCTGGATGCTACAGCTCGGCTTTGCCAGCCAGGTTTACCTGCTGCCGTTTCTGCGTCAGGGCCCTGTCGAACCAGGGATGAACTGGTCTCCCTGGCCCCTAACATCCCAAGGGGAGACGGATACCGGTTGCATGAGCAGCTCAAGGACGCACGCCTGTTTCTGCGCCAGAAATGGGAAGTCCGCTCCTGGCACGTGTTGATTCATGCTTGCCTTTGTTTTTGCTTGCAAGCTTCGCAATGGCAAAGTCCGCTCTGCCATGCGCCATCGACAAAAGACTCCTCCGGAGGTCATTGCAAGGATTTCCCCTGAGGGATCCACAAAAGAATTAACCCATGTAAAACATGTTGGGTTGTTCAATGTCAATCCTGAGATAGTGTGATTGCCAGATGGCAGTGTTTTTTGTTTCTCCTTTTTTAAACTAAACGTCAGGGCTTTTCGGATTCTGCTCTCCCCCAAGAACTCGTGAGAGTTAGGCCGGGACTACAAGAAGCTGGCGGCCAGGCTGCAGCTCACAGAGGCGGAAGCGACTGGGGAGGTTGGGGCTAAGCAACTTGGCCAGCTGCAGTCAAGCTAAAAAGGAAAGAACGACGGAGAACAGTGACGTGTGGACTGAGCGTTTTTTTTCCCCCCCGCATTTTCCGGCACTTCTCGGCGGTTTGACTCTCAACCCTCTTGAGGAGGCATCGTTGCTTTGCACGTCGGTCAGGGGAGGTAAACGCAGATGGTTTCCACAAGTTCTAGTCGGTGCCTTGGCATTTTGGGGTTCTCCTGCTTGGGACAGACGTTGGAGTATTTGCATTGGGCGCGGCAAGGGGGGAACCTATATACAGGTATTTTTTTCGAGTACGCACAAAAAGGAAGAACAAGGGCCCCAAGAAAATCGGCTTCTTTGTCTTCTTCGGATTTTAGGTCCCATGGCCTTGGGCTTCCGAAGCCTGCCAGGCGCAGCCACGCACCGGGCACCGCGGGGTCATCGACACGAGGCGCGGGTCGGAGCACAGCCGTGAGATCGATGCAGCGGTCAGCTTGCAGCTCCGCATGGCAAATCCATGGAGCCCTGCAAAGAGAGCTTTGAGCGATGTGACCGTGGTCTCAGTCAGGTGGTTGGCTTGACCCGAGTGTTCATCAGTGCAGCAATGCCAGGGACCCCCGCAGCGGGGCCAGACTCTTTCTCGTCGACCGTGCCAAGAGTCCGGGGCCATGGAGGTGGGACTGAGTAACTCTACAGGGGGTCTCGGGCGATGTGTCTTTGACTACACCCCTGCGTTTTGTAGCAAGCGACATTTTGGCAGCCCAACCCAAGAAAGAGCTAGCGCTTCTGCAGTTCGCTCCTTTCGATGAATTGTCAAGTCTTGCCGCATGACTTTACCCCAGAGGGCCAAGACGATCTGATCTGTGGTATTCTTCGGCAAGCATGGTATTCCCGGTCATTGCCAGAGCGACGCTTAGTCGCTCACCACTGTGTGGCACTTAGCGAGCTGAGGCTCGAACCTTCCGGTCGCTCAAAAGGCAGCACCTCATGCCAAGAGGCAAGTGCAAAAGGCCGGGGGGCTCAGAGGTCCCTGCAGTTGATCCCAATGGTTCAGTGAACTCCACCCCTTTTCCTCTTTTTGTTTGAGTGGATTCCTCACTCGAAGGCTTCCCTTTGTCTTCTCGGGTCACTGGGCCACGAGGCAGAGGTTTAAAGGGCTCATGATGCTTTGCCCAAGCCTCTTTCGATTCTGCTAGTTGTTGTTTTGCAGAAGCCTGGCGATATTGGCGGGGTGATTTGTTATGGGATTCTGTGCTGGTCTTTTAGGGTTAGAATAGGGTTGGGGACCCTGCGGCGTGGAGTTGGGGTCTTGCGGGCCGGACTGGGACGAGATAGGGGGAAGGGAAAACAACATCGCAGTGGGCCGGCTTCAGCCGAAAGAATTCCCCGGCAAAAAACAGTGGGTTGGCTGGTCGGCTGCAGGGGGCTCGGGATACACATGGGGGGTTTGTAGGCGGCCATTGCAGGGGCACGGGTAGTTTGAGGGCCATGGCGCAGTGATGAAGTTGGCTGGGGCCGCGCAAACACCAAGTGGCACTTGCTTTCCTTTCCCGTGCGAACGAAGCCCAGCCCGGCCATCAGGCTGCGCCCGCAGAGTCCTGCGAGGCCTTCTGCAACAGAAACGGCATGCCTGGCACTCAAAGCTTTGTGGTCTTCATGCTTCTTCAGCTTCAGAATGCTTATAGGCACTGCTCTGATTTGGAGCTGGAGTTCATCAACAACTGCGCCGGGCACTCGGGTCTCCGGATTCGGGGGGCGGGGGGGGGTTCGGACGCGGCGACGCGCCGAAGGCCACGCTGAGACAGCATTTCCCTTGCGAAGAAGGCGCAACGCGGGCCTCGGGTGTCTGAAGTGTCGGAGGCTCCGCTCCGAAGAAGTCGTCCGCGCCTTTTAAAGAAATCTGATATGGGCACAAAGGGGCCCAAAGGGTCCAATGATGGTTCTTTCCAGTGTTTCGCAAAAGAGTTTCCTTTGTGGGCGGGCTGATGCGGGACTTTAAGGAGACATAGAAGGAAAAGCTTTCCTCTTGCCAGGCTGCGGTCATCAGGTTGGGCAGGAGATGGGTGGGGTCGGGGGTAGCCTCTGGAGTGGGTGCTGAGCAGGAACCACAGGCCATGCGCTTCAGCCCCCCAAGCTGTGGCGGATTTAATTAAGGTCTCGTTGTTTGAGAACATGTTAAATTCGGTCCCTCATTTGGCTTTCAGGTGTGGCGTTCTTCGAGTGAGCGAGCCGATGCTTTTTGGCCCTGCGCCTGGAAACAAGTCCTTGCCACACGAGCCCTTGTGTTCTTGGCAAGGAACCCGAAAACACAACCAATCATAGGGGAGGCCCGTTTGCAAGCACGCAGCTACGCGTGCCAGTGCCACAAGGCCTTGTGCAACAGAATGCGTTAAGACGAGAATCGCCAGGAGATCCCCTGCTATGTCCATGACGCTCAGAAAGACACTGGCAAGCAGTGCCTGGTGACGGACTGACAGTTGCACTCCTTTGGTCAGCATTCGAAGGTTGGCATGAGTACAACATTTGCCCATGTGCCACGCCGCTGCGAAATCATGCAAAGCAATCCACAATCCTTCTGTTGGGTTACAAGAAGTTTTTTCTCTGGTTTTTTGAGGCTTGGCCCACCGCCCCGTTTTGCTTCGCACGGCCCAAGTGGAAGGTGCGGACCTGTCCACTTTCGGGATGTCAAAAGGACATTGGCTGCTGCTGGGGGCCTTCCTGGCATGGCTCCCCGGCTTCGTGCCCAGCGTCTCGCCCGCCCGGGCCAAAGCCAAAGGTCTCGGCATCCGACGGGCGGAGATAGCGACTGCCCCGGTGGAGACGAAGGCACTGGAAGAGGAGCCTTGGGTTGCAGGGGAGGGTGCGGTCTACCTGCTGCGTTTGGTTTTTGAAGGGACTATGGGGTCTGCTACCTTCTCTTTTGCGCTGTTCACGTTCTACTTTACAGATGCTGCTGTTCAGAAATCTAGCCGAGTGGATGATTTGTACCACGATGTCGTGTGGAGAATTCAAGCGTGGCTAGATCACTTGGGGACTGAATGGTGTTGAGCCGCTTTGGAGAGACGTGCATTTTGCACAATTGTTACTGGAAATCCGAAAGCTTGTTCAACGATGATAGTGGGGGTTTGGACATGCACTGAATGGCTTCAACCAGATTTCAATCAGATAGGGGTATACAGGTTGGGCGCGGCGCAGCCAGCCTTGCAAACAAGACGACATGCCTCCAAGGGTCGCTGGTTTCCAACCATAAGCACAAGTGGGTTTTATTTTGGTTTCGGATGCATAGTTGGCGTGCGCATGCCCGAACATGGCTTGCGCCTACTCGCCGAATCACGGAAGTGTCAGTTGGCAATTATCCTTGCCTAACTCGCATCCCCAACCTCTGCACAGATGTCGCGTTGATACGTACATCCATATACTTATATGTATGGATGTGATCTTGTTCTGTTCCCACTTAGATGCGGTTCACTCATCGATGGCTCACTGGACCAGTCCAAGCTCATCCAACACTGCACTTATAGGTCACGCATCCTAAATTGGGAATTGTCAAGTGCTCATGGTTGCTTTCTCCCAGCCTTGGCTGAGGTCTGGACTCAGGCAGCTTCCGCGGCGGTTTCAATCCTAGATGGCGGTGCCAATGCGACCACCATTCTGATGCCAAGTGGTGTTGGGGATTTGCAGGTGGGACTGCGGGTGGTGCGCGAATTTATTGCTACTGCGCCCCAGGAATCGCAATTCCGCGTGGTTGTTGCGATCCCGAGCTCTTTGGCGGGCACTGCTGAAAGATTGTACCTGGAAGAGCTTTCTGGAAGAGACTTCACCGTGACCAGCTTAGCCGGGCCAAGAGTGTCCAAGCACACAGTGGCCATGACTCTGAGACAGAACAACTCAATGATTCTGCTCTGCCCGTATGAAGGGATGATGAAACTTGGGCTGGGCTTCATCCAGTCCCAGATCAAGATGCCTTTGGACCTCGCCGTCTTCGCCACGGCACACGTGCTGAGAGCCGGGGGTTTTCATGGCCTGGGCGCCCGGGAGGACGTGCTGCCGGCAAGGCGTCGGAATAGCAACTTGAAGACTAAAACAACGGGTATGGGTCAAAATTAAACCACCAGGGGACCGCAGGTTTTAGTCATTGTTTCCTTTTACCAGGGTGCCATTTTGGGTACCTATTTTTGACCCAACTGGCAAATTGCATAGGCGTCCCTTGTGGGTTGTTCAAAGTCAATCCCTAGTCCTGGTTTCCCTCGCCATTTTGAGCACCCCGGACCCCACAGAGGTCCCCTGTGAGTTAAAAAACCTCCCCCAAAAAAAGCTGGTTTCGCGCCCTGCCAGGCGCCGGGTCTTCATCTCCCCCCGGCACCTCTTTGGTCTGCCCCCAGGGGCGCTGCTGGCGCCGGGCCAGGAACCTGGCTACCCCCAGGAGGCGCCTCAGAGCCAGTTCGGCCCAGAGGCGGATGTCCAAACATGATCAAACATGGGCGCGTTCTACCGGGGGGTTCCATAGGTACCCTTTTTCAGGCTGGTGTAAAGGGGAATGAAAAGGACACGGGTCCCCCACTTGTTGTTCATGCTGCCTGCGTCTCCGAGGGACCTTGTGGCCAGTATTTGCGTACTTGGTCAGCGAGACTAGGAAGAACACACCTTGAAAAATTTGAAAAACACAAGCTGCAAGATGTTTAGATATTGTTTAAGCAACATTCCTTTGCTTTTTCTTTAGTTCGGATCAGGGTCTGCCTGTGCAAGCCAATTTTGCCCCACTGTGCCCCAGAGGCCTACCGCCTCACCCACGAGGAGGCTGAGCAGCGCCAGATGACTGTGCCCATCCGCCTGCAGATCATCGAGTCTACCCAGGTGAGACTGGGCCCACTTGCTGATGGTCTTGCACTCTTGTTGCTTGAGCCACTTGCCCCTGGTAAGTGTCGATGTATTCACTCTTTCGCCGGCCACACTCTTGCTTTCCAAGCCACTTGCCCCTGTCAGAGGGTCGATGTGCTCATTTGTCTGCCAACCAAGTGCGGTCCTGAAGTAGGTGGGCACCAGCGAACGGCTATCAGGTAGTTATGGATGAAGGGCCCGGCTCCTCACACGCTCCATACCTGCAATCCAAATCTGCGATTCACACCCTTTCAATCACCCCGTGTTCCGTACCCACGATGTATACCTTTTGCTCGAGCCTTACCTTTGATGAAGTTTCGGCACGGGCAGGGAGTCAGTGTTATTGATCTTGTTCAAACCATCGATTTGCCTTGCTACTATTTTCCAGTGCTACACGGATTCCTGCTAATTGCTGCTGCTGCTGCTGCTGCTGCTGCTGCCATCGCTATTGCTATCGCTATTGCTATCGCTATTGCTATCGCTATTGCTATCGCTATTGCTATCACCTTTGCGCATTTTTACTGCTGCGAATCTTCAAAGGAAGGAGTCCCTCACACGGACTCTGCTGCTCCAGGAGAAAAGCGCCCTGTTTGCTCTGCCGGGCGTGCCGAAAACCTCTTCGGGGCTCGGGACCACCCCCCGAACCAGCCCCCCCAAGCCCTCCCGGACAGGTCCGGGACGTGGCGTCGGAGCTGGTGGAGCTTCACCGGACCTTGGGCCTCCGTTCCGTGCACGTGGCGCCAAAGCAGCCGAAAACGGCGCAAGCGCTGGCGGACTTGCTGAAGGATCGGACTGTGTATAGACTCGGAGTGTTCACCTCGAAATTGGGGGGACGGGGGGGGGGGGTTGTATGTATATATATGGATGCATGTCTACATATAGCTGAATTAAGACACCCGTTACTTTCAGGATCTCAGAGTTTCTCGCTTTGGCCATCAGCTTTTCATTTTCGTCATTTTGTCCGAGTCCGAAAGAGACCCGTTGAACCAAACGGTTCCCACAACGACCATGGTTTCCGGTTTCCCTTTCGTTTGGCTCAGCGGAAAACCCTCAGGACGCTGCGCCGGGCTTGCGGGTGACCACCGGGCCCACCTGCGAGAGGTCCGTCGATGCCGTGCTGGTCTCGGGGAAGGACCCGAACTACGTGGCCTTGGCGCAGGAGGGGCGAGCGGAAAGAGAACCAGATGTTGGGCCAAAAGGAGGAAGGAACCAAAGGAAGAACCAAAGGAGTTGTTTTTGTTGACCCGCTAAGGGGAACCCGCCGGAGGTTGTGAAAAAAGTATGTGGGTGTTCAAGCAACAAGCGCTCCCTACGCAGGAGTTCCCAAGGTTGGCACATTGGGAGCCAGGAAAGGGCAAGGGCTATGTGATCGTGGCTGGTGCGGCCAAGAAGCTCAAGCCGTTTTTTTTTTTTTTTTAAGGGTTCGTTTGACCATTAGTGTACGTTTAAAAAAATATGTTTGTTTGTTGTTTCTCCCTTGGGTGTTAAGCCCGCTGTTTATGCTGTCGGTCCCCTCCATTTAGGTGTTTAGACACCAGTACTCATTTCTCTTTTTGGTTCCCTCTTTTCGACAAACCGGGGCTGTTCAAAGGCACCCTCGAGAGCTGTGCGAAAGGGCAAAGATCGGGGCGGAGGTTCCTAAAAGGCATTATGATTCGGGATAGGCCAATCCTTTTGTTGAAAAAAGCGCAGATGCCAACTTCGTGGCATCAACAGTTTGGCCTTTTGGTCTTTTCCGTTGGCCTTGAAAGCCTTTGAGATCAACCAGAAAGGCGGCCCCGTTGTGCTGCCTTTTGTTTTTTGCCCTTTGGGCACTGCAAACGAGGAAGCATGCAGTTGCAGCTTGGATGGCTTTTGCTGTTGAGGATGCCCGCGCAGAGGAGGCCCTGCAGAGGACTTCTGTAGAGTTTGGCCGCAAGGACCGGCGCCTCAAGTGGAATGAACTGCCCTTTGAACTGCGGACCCTGGTGCATCGGGGCAGTGCGCGCAGGCAAGCAGAGACTGCCATTGCCCGTGGGGTGGAGGCGCTTGGGGATCCTTGGGACATTTGGCTTGGGCGCTTGCTCGCTTATAAGGATCGGCACAAGCATGCGAACGCACGCTTCCTGGCCACCCAATTTGGGCATGAGCTCGGATCCTGGCTGAAGTCGCAACGGGAACAGTGGGAGCGCGGCACATTGCACGAGCGGAAGGTGGCGCGACTGAAGGGCTTGGGTGTAATGCTGGACAATGAGGCAGAGATGTTTGCCAAAGGCTTGTCCGAATTGAGGACCTACGTTTTGAAGTTCCGGAAGCGGACTGTGCCCTGGAACTATGTGTCAGACTCTGCGTTTAGGTTGGGTGAGTGGGTTGTGGAGCAGCGCACGAAGCAGAGGAGAGGCAAGCTTAGCTTGCAGCGGCAGTTGTTGCTGAAGGAGGCTGGGCAATATGTTTGTAAATGTTGCTTCTGCCACAAACAGGGTTGCCGCTACCTGGAGTAGCTTCCTTACTTCTTTGGCTTTGTGTTTGAATTGAGTCATGTTGGCTTGTCTTGTGGGGCAAAAGGGCTTTGTCGCATTGCACTTCGTTGCAACAGAGGCTGATTTCTATGTTTAAGCCGGGACGAACCTTGGGTCAAAATCGCACACGGTGTGATGTTTTGGCGAGCTTTGTGATTTGAAGGTGCGTTCCCTGAAGGCCTTCTTCTTGTGGCAGCCTTCTGACGCGCCCTCCTTGCTGTTCGAGCACCCTGAGGACCCAGATGCGGCGGACGTGACCCGCTCTATCGAGGAGGAGCTGCGGTCTGTAAGGTGCCTGTGGCTCAAACAACTGTTGCCAAGTTGAGCTTGGCCCGGCCCTTGAAACTTTTTTCCTGGCTTTGTTTGTGTCGGGAACCAGACCCCAAATCCACCCGAACGTGAGGTGGAAGACCATCTCTGAGCGCCGGACCATCTTCCGCGCCATGGTGCTCCGGCATCACCCGGACATCTCCGAGTCCCAGTACGCGAATGATGCCATCCGGTTCTTGGGGGCGGTGAGGGACTGGTTCTTGGCCGGCCACTGATGCGCAAGGCAAAAGAGAGTAGCTGGCTGCCCAGAAGCTGCCCGGGAAAGCTGGCAGACCCGGATGGGAAGTAGTCGGCTGAACTTACACAAACCACGTGTTGCACAGGTCAGTGTCACTTTCAGCTGACCTTACTCTTCGTTGGGGTCCCAGCCAATCATCTGTGCCAGGACGATGCGATACCACTTTGCTCCGCCAAGAATGCGGCCACCACGCTGCAGCCTCGACTCCAGGGCTATTGAACATAGTGACTCTCACACGTGTCAGAAGGGGCGAAAGCACTGCGGAGGAATTGAAGGGGGGATCTGCTGAGGGGACACGGGATCCTTCATTGGTGGGCCTGGGTATCCGAGCTCGACCTTGCTCTGCACTGATTATTGCAAGCTCACCTGCAAGTAAATCAAGCTCACCCAAAATAAGCTCTCGGGATCCTTCAGCCCTAGTTGATGAGCTATGATTCTTTGTGCAGATTGAAGGCCGAGTAGCCCCCAAGAGTCGCTGAGGCGGCTGTGCTCCTGCATTCCGAGCTGAAGGTGCCGTATCCGGCGCAAAAAAACGTTTGCGGCTGAGTCAGGGCTGCGCGTCTACTGTAGTTTTTTTTTGTTTTTAAACGTTTGCTCCCGTTTCACGTTGGAACCATCTTGGCGTGTTTTTGCTTTGACTTGTCTTTGCAGATCACTTGCTTCTTCACCATAGCTCAACTGGTCAGCCACAGCGCTCCAATCTCTGCTCTTTTGGCTGGCCAAGGTCCACCACTGGCAGAGTTTAGGCGAGTGGGAACCAGTGCGAAGCCTGAGCAAGGAGCCAGCGATGATTGAACACCAGTTGTTGATGGCTTTGTGTGTGTGTGTGTGTGAGCGTGTGTGTGTGTGTGTGTGTGTGTGTGTCTTAATTTGTGTTGTGTGAGTGGGTCGTCCTCGGTCTTCGTGCGTTGTGTGTTTGTTTGTGTGTGTGTGTGTGCGTGTTGCGAGTGATTTGTGTTTCGGTCTGTGTTGCCGGAACGGCGCCCATTCGGCTGCTCCCAAAGCCCGGAGCATGCTATCCCGAGTTTCGTTTGGCAAGGACTGCGCGCCTTGCGTAATATGGGTATGGCTGGGCGCATGCAGGCACATGTGAAGTCATGTTACATCGAAGCAGGGACATGCCACCGATGCTCTTGGCTCCAGGGGAGTCTTTGGTCCTCTCCTTTTGTAAGAGACGCCGAGACGCCTTTCCGATGGATCCTCCCATGGACCCGCCGGATCCGAGGGGTCCTCCACTGGACCCCTTGACCCCAAGAACATTGGCCTCCATGCAGGGGGCTTTGGCCCAGCGCCGGGCGCGTGTTGAGCAGCAGGAGGTCTGGGAGGGCTATGGTCGAGATGACGTGCCCAGCTTCCCCGAGGACGACCAGCACCGCCACAGGGATTGGGCCAGTCAGAATGCAACCAAGCTAAAGATTGCTTCTCCCCTGGATTCTCCCAGGGGGCTTGGAGGAGCCGAGGATTCTGGCGCTGTGCCGCCGATGTCAGAGATGGCCGAGGCTTCGGAGGAGGTGCGACCCAGAATTTGTGGCACCAGACGTCCGGAACGGCTGGAGGAGCCCGATCAAGAGATGTGGGAACCGTTTGCCACCCCATCCAGGACGATTCGCGGGGGCTCGATGAGCAGTGCGATCGACCAGGACAGCGATGTCTTCCAGACCCCGCTATCCACAAGTGAGGTAACTCCAGCTGCAACTCCGCCAGAGTTGGACGCAGAGCGCGAGCGGCACATGTATGTCCAGGGCTACCCGGAGTCAGGACAACTTCCAACCGCAGTTCCAGAGGCACCGGCAAGGCCCGTGGCAGGAGAAGCACCGTCAACAGAAGCACCGCCAGCAGAAGCACCAGCAGAAGCACCAGCAGAAGCACCAGCTGCAGAAGCACCGGCGGCAGCAGAAGCAGCTCCGGCGACAGCAGAAGCACCGGCGGCAGCAGAAGCAGCTCATGCGACAGCAGAAGCACCGGCGGCAGCAGACGCCCCGGCGACAGCAGAAGCACCGGCGGCAGCAGAAGCTCCGGGGGCAGCGGAAGCACCGCCAGTAGCGGAAGCACCGGCCGCGGAAGCACCGGCAGTGGAAGCACCGGCAGCAGAAGCACCGGCAGCAGAAGCACTGGCAGCAGAAGCACTGGCGGCAGAAGCACTGGCAGCAGAAGCACCAGCAGCGGCTGCGCCAGCTGAGCCCAGGGTCGGAGAGGGGGAACAGGATGATCATGATTCCGAATCGTATGAGGGGTCGGAGTATGAGGACGCAAGCAGCATGTACTCGGAGTCTCATGGTTCCAGAGACAATGCTGATCACAGCGACTCAGAGCGAGAGGATAGCTATGCCTCAAGCGAGGCTTCCGGCCATGCAGGCCGTGATGGCCGTGAAGGCCGTGCTGGCCGTTCAGGCCGCAGGGAGCGCCCACACGCTGAGGCGGGTGTATCAGGTGGAAGCGAGGCAGAGGATGAGGAGGAATCAAACATCTCTAATGAAGGCAGCGAAGCGCACAGTGACGAACAGTCCGCACTGTCAGGGTCGGAGCAGTGCGATCATTCCGACCAGTCCGAGTATTCAGAGTATTCCGAGCACTCCGAGCACTCAGAGCACTCAGAACACTCAGAGCATGAGGCAAGCGACGCAGAGGATCCTGGTGATCTTGGGCCTGAGCCCAAGCCAGAGCCAGACACGGCAAGTGCAGGGCTTGAGGTGGCTCAAGCTGATGCAGCCGGGGTGCCTGACAGCCAGTCCGAGTGCACCCAGGCTGGCGCTCCAAGCGTGCACCGAACCCACTCCTGCAGGGTCTAGCTTAAAGTGTTTCTTTGTCCCAGTCCTGCATTGTTCCCCAGACGAAGAGATGTTCTCTTGTTGCTCAGTGGCGAGTTTTCGACTTTCTGACAATGTCAGCCTGGCACGTTGTCAGGATGAAGCAGCGGATGTTGGGCCAAAAGCAGAAGCCCCACACCGGCTTGCTACTGAAGCGTCGTTCTACAGCTGTGCTTCGAGCGCGTCTGACTCGAACCAGCCAGAGACGGAGCCAGGCGGCAGCTTGGCCGTGAATTCTCCGCAGGACAGCTCAGGCGAAGAGGCCGACTCCCGCCTCGTAGACCAGCTCCTGCACAGCGTCGAGGTAACTAGTCCGAAGGCCGAGGTGGTCAGGGACGCAGGCGCTGGCACCCAAGTGGCGGAGCTTGAGCAGCGCGCCCGTGAGGCCAAAGCGGCGGAGCAGCCCACGCAGTCCGGTCAGAGCGTGGCGGACTCCGAGCAGCCAGAGGCGGAGGGGGAGCAGACTGACAGCGCCGAGCCCGAGTCGCGCGTGGCAAGGGCAGGGTCCACTGCTTCTGCCACGGAGCACTTCGACATTGGAAGTGACATAGAGAAGGAGAGCAGCAATGCCTCAAGCTTCTTGGAGCGCATTGGCTTCAGCCGCGGCCAGCAGTCCGCCGGTTCAATCCTCACGGTGCCGGAGCACCCCGTGTCAGTGGAACACTATCTCATCAGCAGTGATGCTGAGCACAATGATGGGCAGGATGGGAGCTTGTCCTCGAGGAGTGTTGAAAAGTTGGACCTTCCTGAGCTGCCTGACCCGGAGCAGGCTGCGGAGATGCACAGGAGCACGAGTTTGGCTTACATGGCCAGCCAAATTGCAAGGTTTCGGCTGGAATTGTTCGTTGGTTTTCCTTGCCTTTTGCGATGGTTGGTGTCTTTGCGTGAGCCTCAGGAGCAACGCCGAGAGGATCATGGCAGAGCTCTATGCCGCCGAAGTTCGTGCTAGTCCAGATGTAAGCCCAGATGCGGACAAGTCCCCTGCAAGCACAGATGCGGACAAGTCCTCTGCACAGGCGTGCGCATGCGCAAAAGTGTGTTTGCAACAAACTTTGCGGCGGTCCCCCATGGAGGTCAAGCTCCATTCAGTTGGCCCATCAACATGTTCCAGCTGTCCTTGTCAGAAACATGTATCCCCCTGAAAGAGTAGGTCTTGTTTTGGAGGGCTGCCAAACTTGTCCCCACAAAGGCGGCAAGCGGGCTAAGTGCTGCTTTTCGTGGCTCCCAGGCCAGCGGGGCACATGCGGAGCCCGCCGAGCAGAAGAAGAAAATGGACTTCCTTTTCGCAGGAGCCGTCGAGGCCAAGGATGTCAAGGACTGTGGAGTGCGCCCCTCAGCCGGGGGTGTCTTCAAAATAGAGAGCCGGGCAAATCTCCGGTCTCCATCATCGCAGCTGAACAAGTTGCCATGTTTCAAAGTTGTGCCCCTGAAGGAAGCCAAGGAAGCCGAGGACACCAAGGAAGCGATGGAAGCGGAAGAGTCCGAGGATGAGGTGCCTGCCTTCGCAGCGCTCTCCGCCATGCGGGCACGCAACAAGGAGGGGCCATTGGAAGACTTGGGCACTGTCATGCCGGCAGACGCCGCAGAAGCACAGCCCGAAGCAGCTGAAGGGCATGCCGCGGAAGCGGCAGTGGCAGCTGAAGCGGAAAGGGCTGAGGGGCCGGACGTGGCAGAGGAGGGCGGTTATACTTCTGATACGTTTTTAAGTTTTGTTCCTTAGTCTATGTTGTCCGTCAAATGTCGCTTGTGTTCACCGGTGGCCTCAGGCAGCACAATGTCCGGAACCAAAGCACGAACACGGTCCAAACAACTAACTTACCACCCCGAGGAAGCGGCGGAGGCGGCTCACGCGGCCGCCGAACTGGCTGAACCAGCTCAAGCAGCTGAAGCAGTTGAAGTCACTGAAACGGTGGAAGCGGCTGAAGCGACTGAGGCAGCTGAAGCGGCTGAAGGCCTTGGAAGCGTAGAGGGTGCAGGCCAGGAGTTTGTTTTGGAAAGCGCAAAAGCCTTTGGAAGACGAAAGTAGTCCCACAACCATGAGCTAGGTAGCAATGACACTGACAGGGCTGACGAGCTGCCTGTGCGCACATTCTGTGACAGGCACTGAGCAGCAAAGCCAAGAAGCAGAGGCAGGGAGTCGTACAGTTTGGCAGGCATGATGGAGACATAGATCTAGCCACATTGGCCACTGCCCGAGCTTGCAAGGATGCTGAGTCGTTCGGCAGCCCTCCGTCCCTTGCGCAATGCTTGCCGGGCTTGGAAGGTGATTTTGGCAAGTCCCGCAATTTGGCAGCTGAACAAGGTGCCATGTTTCAAAGTTATGGGCCCCTGAAAGGAAGCCAAGGAAGCCGAGGACACCAAGGAAGCGATGGAAGTGGAAGGGTCCGAGGATGAGGTGCCTGCCTTCGCAGCGCTCTCCGCCATGCGGGCACGCAACAAGGAGGGGCCATTGGAAGACTTGGGCACTGTCATGCCAGCAGACGCCGCAGAAGCACAGCCCGAAGCAGCTGAAGGGCATGCCGCAGAAGCGGCAGTTGCAGTTGAAGTGGAAAGGGCTGAAGGGCCGGACGTGGCAGAGGAGGGCGATTAGCATGGTTAGCTTGTTATACTTCTGAGACGTTTTCAAGTTTTGTTCCTTACAAGTCTATTTTGTCCGTCAAATGTCGCTTGTGTTCACCGGTGGCCTCAGGCAGCACAATGTCCGGAACCAAAGCACGAACACGGTCCAAACAACTAACTTACCACCCCGAGGAAGCGGCTGAGGCGGCTCACGCGGCCGCCGAACTGGCTGAACCAGCTCAAGCAGCTGAAGCAGTTGAAGTCGCTGAAACGGCTGAAGCGGCTGAAGCGGCTAAAGCGACTGAGGCAGCTGAAGGGCTTGGAAGCGAAGAGGGTGCAGGCCGGGGATTTGGTTAGGCAAGCGCGCAAACATGTGTGCATATTTGTGCTTTGTGCATGTGCAGCTTGGCAGCACGCAAGGATACGCAAGGATACAGCCCAGAAAAGTAGTCCCACAGTTGATGACTCTGGGTGAATTACAACTGGTTTATGTGGAGAATAGCCCCCCAACCACCTTATTTCAGCTGGGTGAAATATCACAATTCACCCAGATGACTGGGGCAGCATTGTGATGGAAAGCACGTTTGCTTTTTTCATCCCAAGGCTAACTTCGATTTTTTTCTTCTTCTCTCGCCTGATTTATCTCCTGGCTCCCGCTGAGTAGCATGGGCACTGAGGCCTCGATTGCAAAAATCCATGAAACTGACGTCTAGAGTTTGAGAGGACCTGGACAGTGTGGCCTCAGGTTCTTGTACGACAGTACGACATGCATGGTGCACGTGGAGCTGCCCTCGGGTTTGGGCACACACTTCTGCGTTTGTGACAGGCACTGAGCAGCAAAGCCAGGAAGAGGCAGGCACTGGGCAGAGCCAGGAGGAAGAGGCAGGCAGTGAGTTTGGAAGGTGCGATGGCGAGACCCAATTAATCAGACTGCTGCAAGTTCGGATTCTGACTTGATTGAAAGATCCCCAAGGTCCCTTGCCCCGCGCTTGTGGGGAGGAAGCTCAGGGAACCAGAAAGGAAAACACTTTCACGTGAATGCAGCGCCGCTTCAGGCGGAATCCGCCGAGCATGTTGTGGAAGAGGCGAGGGACCTGGCACAAATGGTCAGCACGCCGCCACCAGCAGCAACCCGCACTGAGGCAGGCAAGCTCTAGTTTTCTGCATTTGTGTCGCAACACGTTCATTGATGCCGAAATGTGGGTGTGGTTCAAAAATAGGTATCCAAAATGGAACCCTGGTAAATTGAAACAAACACTAAAATCTGCGGTTCCTGGTGTTTTAGTTTTGACCCATACCCATGTGGCATTCCGGTATCATTCCGGTATCCACTTAGAAGCAAGGAGGGAGCCAACTGCTTTTCGGCCACAGCAAGCTGGTATAGGCTAGCCATGCTTCGGGGCAGGTTGGTTTGCAATGCTTTCACCATTAAGGTAGCTGTAGCATCAACATCATGCACGGTTGGCAACCGACGGTTGGTGGATACGCCGCCCCGTGTATAAGTCCATGATGTCCACCAAAGGTTCCAACTGCTTGAATTCCACACACATGAGACCATGGGTAAAGCAGGCGGGGAAGCAGCGCAGCTCTGTGCCAGGCAGCGTCTCCGAAGAAGGTCGCCAAGGCCGCGATGTTTGCCGCGTAGGGATGATCACACTCGGAGTTGGACATCGTTTTGTCCCCCTGTTTGGGCCCAGGTTTTGTCAATTGACCTCGAGTCTCTAATCCCCTTTCCTCGGACAAGTGAAATTGCGCAAGCGCTGGCAGCTAGCCCTGGCCATCCCAGGCCAAATCAGCCACCTGCCTCCCCTCAGGCCCGCCAGGAGCCACTGCCGCTGAAGGCGCGGGTATGCTGGGTGGATGAGGAGGGATCCAGATGGACCAACAGTTATGTTGTGAAAGCTGAGTGCAGCTGAGTGCGCCGACAGCAAGATCACCCTGTACCAGCGAATTGATGTTGTGTGTTTTGTGTGTTTGGTGGCTCCTCGTGACAGGCCCAGATCGTGATTGAGGACAATGAAAGCGATGAGCAGTTCGTTTTGTCGACTGACGAATGGCGGGAGTTCTTCAAGAGCCAGGGAGTCTTGTCTGCAAGCAACCAGGTCACTAAGAATAACCTCCGCCTGGCAGAATGCGGAGTGAACCATGGGCTTGACTAAGAGCAAAGCAAGTGGGGTATCAACCGGCGCAGTCGCCTCACATGTCCAGTTGCATGTTTGTTTCTCTTCTATGGGGGCAGTTGGGGGGCGACGCCAGAGCAAGCACAACATCGAAAGATTGCACTTTGACAGGGAAGGGGGGGCCACCAGGCCTGGGGGGGGGGGGGGGGAACTGGCGCTGAGGCTCGTGGAATGCCAGGGAGTGGCAGGAGCTCAAGCGGTTGCTGCAGGCATGGCCGAAGCTGGGCACTGGTTCCGTCCAGCTCTCAAAACCTAATGCGGGCTGCGCCCGGAACGCTTGTCAATCACGTTCCGTACCGGGGTCTACGAGACTACCGCCTGGTGCTTTCATGGCGTTATCGGGAGCCTTATGCATCACTTTATGAACAGTTTTGTAGAACCAAAAGTTTCATTTCGCAAATACGTGTTGGACGCTGCTCAAGGCGACCAGCCTCCCAGCTGCCAACGCTTATCGACTGCCCCTTCTGAAAGTCGTCAAACATCACGCGCAGCCTATTATTGCTTGTCAACATGATGGCAATTCTCCGAAGAAGAATCTTGGTCGTCCTGTGCACGGACAGAACGGTTTCCGCGCTGGCCCTGGAACCAATCACAAACAGGAGAGCATGCATGGTCTCCGCGCTTGGTTGCTTGGGGCAGTTGGGATGGTCAGCTCTTTCGGAAAGATGAGCTGAAGCCAGCTTTCCCAAGCAGAAGCAAAGCTGGTTGGGTTTTTTTCTGCACGTTCGCTGCCGTTTTTGTCTGCCAGGGGCGCAGGGGCAGCAAGATTTCGCGGAGTACCGTCAGGAGACTCCAAGGGCCTGGGGCGGACATGATTGCTGGCCACCTGGACTTGGTGGCCGTTGGAACAACATTGGAGTTCCATGCGCGCGCGTGAAGAAACATAGAAACATCTGCATGGAACCACATGGGCGACGGTCAAAAACCCATGTGCAAAAGTTTAGTAAGGAGCATATTCATGTGTTCTGGCGCTGCGCGCGCGAAAGGTCGCGAGTGGGCGCCGGAAGGTTTGGCGAAAGGGCTGGCCACAATGATGATAAAGGATGCTGATTAAGCACTCTGAATGGTGTGAACATTTTTTCAATGCTGTAGAAATAGCTTTTGGACTGTTGCTTATGCCATATGTGCCCCTCGCGCCCCGAAACAGGCCCAAATGTTATTTGGCCTTGGCCGAAATAGCTTTTGGGCAACCCCCAACAACGGCATACCAACATGCAGGTTGGTCCACAAGATGCAAAGCAGGGCACCCCCAAAACCTGTTTTTTGGCAAACCAACCCAACTCATTTGGACACTTTCCGCCCCTTGGCCTGCAAACCAACCCAAAACCTGCCCGTTATTTTCCAGTGCCCCAAACAAGTTTTGGGGGTGCCTGGTCTGCATTCTCAAGGAAAAGACTCATTTGGACACTTTCGGCCCCTTGGCCTGCAAACCAAGCCAACACCTGCCCAAATGTTATTTTCCAGCGCCAAGAACAAGTTTTGGGGGTGCCCTGGTCTGCATTCTCAAGGAAAGACTATCCTGCCCAAATGTTATTTTCCAATGCAGGCCAAGGGGCCGAAAGTGTCCAAATGAGTCTTTTCCGTGAGAATGCAGACCAGGGCGCCCCCAAAACCTGTTTTGGGCACTGGGCAGGTGTTGGGTTGGTTTGCAGACCAACCAGCAAAAAGTGTCCAAAGAGTCTTTTCCTTGAAGATGTGTGGGATGGATGGATGGATGGATGGATGGGTGGATGGGTGGGTGGATGGGTGGGTGGGTGGATGGATGGATGGATGGATGGATGGATGGATGGATGGATGGGGGGTGGGTGGATGCAAAGGTGTGTGGATGGACGGATGAGAATACAGACCAGGGCGCACCCAAAACCTGTTTTGGGCAGTGGAAATAACATTGGGGCAGGTTTCGGTTTGCAGGCCAACAAGCCAAAAGTGTCCAAATGAGCCTTTTCCTTGAGACTACATACAGGCCAGGGCACCCCCAAAACCTGCTTTGGCGCTGGAAAATAACATTTGGGCAGGTGTTGGGTTGGTTTGCAGGCCAATGGGCCGAAAGTGTCCAAATGAGTCTTTTCCGTTTTTCCGTGAGAATACAGACCAGGGCGCCCCCAAAACCTGTTTTGGGCACTGGGAAAATAACATTTGGGCGGGTGTTGGGTTGGTTTGCAGGCAACCAGCCAAAAGCGTCCAAACGTGTTCAAATGAGTCTTTCCTTGAGAATACACAGACTAGGGCACCCCAAAACCTGCTTTAGGCGTTGGAAAATAACATTCGGGCTGGGTCGTTGGTTCCCAAAGCATGCTTTCGACGCATGGCTTTAGTACATGTGCGCCCCACTGTGGGCGCGAAAGAAAGCGCAAGTTTCGCGAAAGGGCGCCGGAAGGCAAAAAAAACAGACAAAGTAATTTCGACCAACGCCCACATGGTGAGCGAGACTCGAGACGTCACTGCTTTTGCCCTAGCACGCACTTATCGAGTTTTGGCACTTTGGAGTCAAGGGCATGCCTGAAGCGGTCGGCCTGTGGCTGGAGAAAGCTCTGGGGCACACGGCTGCATTGGTTGCCGAGCCAACAGAGTGCGGCAGACTGGGGATCCAGCAGCTAGTCACTGAGCCGGGGCAGAGCCGGTTTCCAAGAGGAGCCTGTTTTTCCAGACCCTAAACCGGAACCTCACAACATGCGCCCGACAAATCTCGGGATGTTCAAGCTCCTCTTTCTGGCAGAGAATCCGAGGGTCCAACCCCACTCAGCCAGAATATGGCCCCTGCAAATCCCAGAGCGGTGAGTGGTGAGCGTTTCCTTTTTCGGCCACACGCCCCGCGGCCCCGCTCTTTTCAGGAGGACCGTCCTGAACCTGAGCTTGGCGCGAAGCTTGCAGGCACAGTGCTTGGTCTATGTTTGTCTGTGCAAGGGCCAGAGCAAATGGGTATCTTCAAGAACAAGAGAGACTCCCCAAAAAGGGATGGGATGGTTCCATTTGAACAATTACACCATCATACACCAGATCGTGCGTCCCCAAGCAAGCTCACCAATCAGCAACCTCGCAAGCACCTGCAACAGCACGGCACCAAGACCAGCTCTCCCGCCAGCACCCTGACTGCAGCGCAAAACGGGCACTGCCAGCAACCGGCCCGAGCTTGCAAAGATGCCTGCCCGAAGAACCTCATAGCTTTCAGCTATCTGGGGAAAACCGCACCCCTTACCAGCACACCCTGACCAGCAACACCCTAAAGAAACACGTCAACTCCAGCCCCGATCTTCTCCAGACTGCGTGTACAATACGTAATTACATGTTTGACGGTATTTGACCATGTCCTGCTGAGAATGCAACCTTTGGCAAGCTGCCGAGACGCGCCTGTGGCCAGGGTTAAGCCTGTGACAGGGCTGCGCGCGCCACATTTGGCCACGGCCAGCAGATTTTGGCGCCCATCCCCCCCCCGAGATCACAGAGTTGCTTGGAGAAATGCATGGCAGAATGGTTGTAACAGGGATGAGCATTTTGCTGCAAGGGTCTCTTGCCGTGGGAAGGAAATATCCAGCGTTACTGAAGATTCAGCAAAGCAGATGTCATGGCAGGTCAAGCTCCTGCGAATTCTGGGTGTTCACATCCCTGAGGACGGACCGGGGTACCTAGCTTTGGCAGGCATGGGCTGCATCGCAGTTTGCTTTCGGATGGAATGGCCTGAGTGGATTTTGAAAGGATTGCAGTTAGTGGAACTGGCAGCAACTATTCTTTGCAAGGGGTCCCTGCGGGCAATGGCGATCTTCCTGCAGGCTTGCTGCAAAGCGTGCTTCTAAGTTCATTCCTCGCCCCTTTGGGCATCGGCCAGGCTTTTCGTTCGAGGCGTACCCTGTTGGCCGGTGACTCTTGCACAGGAGCTCGAGACAGAGAAGGCAGACACATCGCAGGAAGAGTCTCCTGAGGAGTAGCGAGTGGTTGAAGAGTTAAGACGTACCTCAATGCGTTGTCCTCAAAACCTCCAAAAGCACGACAGCCCAGAACAAGTTCAAGGGTGAAAAACCTCTTTTTCCACACTTCAGGCAAAGGTCAAAGGTCAAACACTGACTGTTCACAAGTTAAGCACAAGGTCCAAGCTCAAAACCGTTTTTCACAAGGGCGCACGGCAGAAGCAAGATTTCTCAAAGGTACCAGAACATCCAATGTAAGACATGAGAGATAAGCATTTTTGCACACAATACCATGTTTATTCAAAGACAAGCAAGGTAAGGCAAACAGCTGTTCAAAGCTGAAGCTCTCAAATTTCAGTGGGAAATTTGCCTTCAGAACATGTTGTTATCTTGATGAGTCAAGCTCATCGAAGAAATGACAGGACTGTTGAAAAGAAACGCGTCGCACGAAGTGCGGCGGTGAGCAATAATGAAGGTTGTGTCTACAGTTTAGTCAGCTATTGTTGACTGTCAAAACCGACATTGTTGGCGTGGTTGAAATGCCCCCCCCTCTCCCCCCAAAAAAAACAACAACACAAGGATGATCAGCCCAAACAATGCGTTGCCTAGAGCCAGCCTCAGCGCGCAGCACCAAACCGTTTAGGACGCCGAGCTGTCGGATCCGGAGGCCTCGATGGACGCCTCGGGAGCAGCTTTGGAGCCGCGCGCGGAAGGGGCATCCACGGCTTCTGCCGAGCACTTCGACATTGGGAGTGACAGGGAAAGGGAGAGCAACGCCTCAGGTTTCCTGGGACGCGTTGGTTTCACCCGGGGCCAGTCCGGCGCTTCGATCCCTTTGGAACACTACCTCATCAGCAGTGATGCTGAGCACAATGATGGAAGCGTATCCTCGAGGAGCATCGCAAAGTCGGACAGGACCTTTTTCAGCATGACCGATCTGCCTGACCCAGAGCAGGCTGCAGAGATGCACAGGAGCACGAGTTTGGCTCACATGGCCAGCAAAATCGTAAGGTTTCCGCTTGAATTGTTCGTTGGTTTTCCTTGTGGCATCCTGGCGCCTAGCAGCCAGCCACTTCCCGAAGAGTTTTGTTTTTGCGTGAGCCTCAGGAGCAACGCCGAGAGGATCATGGCAGAGCTCCATGCTGCCGAAGTTCGTGCTAGTCCAGACGCAAGCCCAGATGCGGGCAAGGCCTCTGCGCAGGTGGGCGCTTGCGAATAAGTGTGCTCGCGCCCAATTTCACTCTTATCCTTGTCAGAAACATGCATTCCCGCCTCAAAGTGTAGGTCTTGTTTTGGAGGCTTTCCAAACTTGTCCCCACAAAGGCGGCAAGCGGGCTAAGTGCTGTTTTCCGTGGCTCCCAGGCCAGTGGGGCACATGCGGAGCCCGCCGAGCAGAAGAAGAAAATGGACTTCCTTTTCGCAGGAGCCGTCGAGGCCAAGGATGTCAAGGACTTGCGATTTCCCTCCCGTCCGCCGTGTGTCTAAAAACCAAGGGAGCCGGGCAAAATCTCCGGCCTCCATCATCGCAGCTGAACAAGTTGCCATGTTTCAAAGTTATGGGCCCTGAAGGAAGCCAAGGAAGCCGAGGACACCAAGGAAGCCGAGGACACCAAGGAAGCCGAGGACACCAAGGAAGCGATGGAAGCGGAAGAGTCCGAGGATGAGGTGCCTGCCTTCGCAGCGCTCTCCGCCATGCGGGCACGCAACAAGGAGGGGCCATTGGAAGACTTGGGCACTGTCATGCCGGCAGACGCCGCAGAAGCACAGCCCGAAGCAGCTGAAGGGCATGCCGCGGAAGCGGCAGTGGCAGCTGAAGCGGAAAGGGCTGAGGGGCCGGACGTGGCAGAGGAGGGCGGTTATACTTCTGATACGTTTTTAAGTTTTGTTCCTTAGTCTATTTTGTCCGTCAAATGTCGCTTGTGTTCACCGGTGGCCTCAGGCAGCACAATGTCCGGAACCAAAGCACGAACACGGTCCAAACAACTAACTTACCACCCCGAGGAAGCGGCTGAGGCGGCTCACGCGGCCGCCGAACTGGCTGAACCAGCTCAAGCAGCTGAAGCAGTTGAAGTCACTGAAACGGTGGAAGCGGCTGAAGCGACTGAGGCAGCTGAAGCGGCTGAAGGCCTTGGAAGCGTAGAGGGTGCAGGCCAGGAGTTTGTTTTGGAAAGCGCAAAAGCCTTTGGAAGACGAAAGTAGTCCCACAACCATGAGCTAGGTAGCAATGACACTGACAGGGTTGACGAGCTGCCTGTGCGCACATTCTGTGACAGGCACTGAGCAGCAAAGCCAAGAAGCAGAGGCAGGGAGTCGTACAGTTTGGCAGGCACGATGGAGACATAGATCTAGCCACATTGGCCACTGCCCGAGCTTGCAATTCTGGATGCTGAGTCGTTCGGCTACCCTCCGTCCCTTGCGCAATGCATGCGGGGCTTGGAAGGTGATTTTGGCAAGTCCCGGAATTTGAGGATCGCAGCTGAACAAGTTGCCATGTTCCAAAGTCATTGGCCCCTGAAAGGAAGCCAAGGAAGCCGGGGACACCAAGGAAGCCGAGGACACCAAGGAAGCGATAGAAGCGGAAGGGTCCGAGGATGAGGTTCCTGCCTTCGCAGCGCTCTCCGCCATGCGGGCACGCAACAAGGAGGGGCCATTGGAAGACTTGGGCACTGTCATGCCGGCGGACGCCGCAGAAGCACAGCCCGAAGCAGCTGAAGGGCATGCCGCGGAAGCGGCAGTGGCAGCTGAAGTGGAAAGGGCTGAAGGGCCGGACGTGGCAGAGGAGGGCGGTTAGCATGGTTAGCTTGTTTTACTTCTGATACGTTTTTTTAAAGTTTTGTTCCTTACAAGTCTATGTGTTCACCGCCCGCCTCAGGAACACCGTCCAAACAACTTCTCAACTTATCACCCCGAGGAAGCGGCTGAGCCGGCTGACGCGGCCGTCCAACTGGCTGCAGCAGCTGAGGCGATTGAAGTCGCAGAAACGGCTGAAGCGGCTGAAGGCCTTGGAAGCGTAGAGGGAGCAGGCCAGGAGTTTGCTTTGGAAAGCGCAAAAGCCTTTGGAAGACGAAAGTGGTCCCACAACCACGAGTTAGGTAGCAATGACACTGACAGGGTTGTCGAGTTGCCTGTGCGCACATTCTGTGACAGGCACTGAGCAGCAAAGCCAAGAAGCAGAGGCAGGGAGTCGTACAGTTTGGCAGGCATGATGGCGAGACGTAGTTTGTCTCATGTAGCCACATTGGCCACTGCCCGAGCTTGCAATTCTGGATGCTGAGTCGTTCGGCTACCCTCCGTCCCTTGCGCAACTCTTGCGGGGCTTGGAAGGTGATTTTGGCAAGTCCCGGAATTTGAGGATCGCAGCTGAACAAGTTGCCACGTTCCAAAGTTATTGGCCCCTGAAAGGAAGCCAAGGAAGCCGAGGACACCAAGGAAGCGATGGAAGCGGAAGGGTCCGAGGATGAGGTTCCTGCCTTCGCAGCGCTCTCCGCCATGCGGGCACGCAACAAGGAGGGGCCATTGGAAGACTTGGGCACTGTCATGCCGGCGGACGCCGCAGAAGCACAGCCCGAAGCAGCTGAAGGGCATGCCGCGGAAGCGGCAGTGGCAGCTGAAGTGGAAAGGGCTGAAGGGCCGGACGTGGCAGAGGAGGGCGGTTAGCATGGTTAGCTTGTTTTACTTCTGATACGTTTTTTTAAGGTTTTGTTCCTTACAAGTCTACTTTGTCCAGTCAAATGTCGCTTGTGTTCACCGCCCGCCTCAGGAACACCGTCCAAAAACTTCTCAACTTATCACCCCGAGGAAGCGGCTGAGCCGGCTGACGCGGCCGTCGAACTGGCTGCAGCAGCTGAGGCGATTGAAGTCGCAGAAACGGCTGAAGCGGCTGAAGGCCTTGGAAGCGTAGAGGGAGCAGGCCAGGAGTTTGCTTTGGAAAGCGCAAAAGCCTTTGGAAGACGAAAGTGGTCCCACAACCACGAGTTAGGTAGCAATGACACTGACAGGGTTGTCGAGTTGCCTGTGCGCACATTCTGTGACAGGCACTGAGCAGCAAAGCCAAGAAGCAGAGGCAGGGAGTCGTACAGTTTGGCAGGCATGATGGCGAGACGTAGTTTGTCTCATGTAGCCACATTGGCCACTGCCCAAGCTTGCAATTCTGGATGCTGAGTCGTTCGGCTACCCTCCGTCCCTTGCGCAATTCTTGCGGGGCTTGGAAGGTGATTTTGGCAAGTCCCGGAATTTGAGGATCGCAGCTGAACAAGTTGCCATGTTCCAAAGTTATTGGCCCCTGAAAGGAAGCCAAGGAAGCCGAGGACACCAAGGAAGCGATGGAAGCGGAGGAGTCCGAGGATGAGGTGCCTGCCTTCGCAGCGCTCTCCGCCATGCGGGCACGCAACAAGGAGGGGCCATTGGAAGACTTGGGCACTGTCATGCCGGCGGACGCCGCAGAAGCACAAGGGCCGGACGGTGCCGAGGAGGGCGTGTGGAATGGTTAGCTTTGCTGAAACGTTTTGATGTTTTGTTCCTTACAAGTCCATTTAAGTCCGTCATGTCGCTTGTGTTCACCGCTTGCCTTAGGCAGCCCAATGCCTGGGACCCCAAATTTGGCCCTGTTCCCGAGGAAGCGGCAGAAGTGGCTGAAACCGCTGAAGTGGCTGAAGCACCTGGAAGGGACGCGGGTGCAGGCCTGGCACGGGCAGGGCACATCCGGTCTTATGCATCGCCCCAAGGATGGCGGCGCACAAAAAGGATGGTGCCTGCGGGCAGCATTGCGATGGGATGCACGTTTGCATTCTTTATCCTGCGTCTAAACTTTATTCCCCTCACATCTCGCACCAAGGTTATGTCACGGTTCCTTCTAAGCAACATTGCAAAAGCTATTGTCTAGAGTTTGTGCAGTCCTAGACAGTCTGGCCTCAGATGTCCCCAATGTATGCCCTCGGACCGGTTCCAGGGGGTCGAGTGTGGCTTTTGTTTTTTGGTCCTTCATGCCTCACAGGGAGACTGTTTCGGGCGTGATGGGTTTTTGGAGCACACATCACGATCGAGAAGTCTTCACCCTTGGCTGCCAAGGAAGAAATCATCCAAGAAGCATCCCTCATGAATGCTCACATTCCTCTCTTGCCTATCTCCCTTTTTTGATGTAACGGATGGAGCCTCGAGAACTAGAATGGAGCATTCCAACTAACAATTCCATCTGGATTCACATAATTTTGGTAGGAAATAGAATCTAGACTTGGAGTTATTAATTTGGGTCTCTTTCTCTTTCTCCCGTAGCCGAGTGTGACTTGTATGACTGCCTCGGCTTCTTTCGAGCTGTGCAGGTTGTGGCCCCCAATGCTACAGCACGTTGGTCCTAAACCAAAACCCATATTTGAAAGCTTCCTACACCTCAGGTAAGCTGCACCCGGAAAAGTAGTCCCGCCGGTGGACCCTGAGCTCGCGCGAACTTCCCCCGAGGTCCAAGTTTGATTGATGGAAACAGCAAGCAACAATAATTCCCTAACCCCATTTGGAGGCCTCGTTGCTGAAGCGAAAGGGCTCGCTGCAACTGCTTGATGGTACTGTCACGGCATGCAGCTGCCATTGCCGCACACTTTCCGCGCGTTCGACAGGCACTGAGCAGCAACGCCAGGAAGCAAAGGCAGGGAGTCGTGAAGCTTCGAAAGGCACAATGTCACAAAAGCAAGATGTTTTTTCCCCTCCGTTTTTTTAAATATATATATATATATATATATTTGTTTTTTTTTTTGGGGGGGGGGCAATCAACTAGTAACGGGCCACGATGCCGCGACACTTTCATTGATGTCGAAACGTGGCATTCCGGTACATCCCGGTAATGATCCACTGTAAGGAGGGAGCCACACGCGTTTAACCATCGCAAGCCTGTTTCTCGTACAGGCCAGCTTGTTAATCATGTGCTGCGGGACTTTTCTTCTGCCATGCTTCTGGGCACTGAGCATGTGTGGCTTTGGGTAACACCAAGATCTGTTGGGTAGCACCAAGACCTGTTGGGTAGCACCAACATTGCATGGGTCAAGCAGCAGCTCGATGCCAGGCAGAGTCTGTCAAGAAGGTCGCCAAGGCCCGCGATGGATGCTTACGGATACCCGGCTTTCAGCTGGCTGGTCGGTCAGGCACTAGGTTTGGTCAAGGCCAGCCTTCTTCTCTGCACAAGGCACGTTGTGCGAGTCGACGGCTAGCCCCGGCGGAATGTGCCAGCCACTTGCCTTCCTGAAAGCTACCGAACGCCCCAGAGTTTGGGTCTTGCAAACGGAGATTTGTTGGGAAGCGCCGGGCTTTCTTTCTCGCGGGCCCGCCAGGAGCCACAGCCGCTGAAGGCGTGAGGAGGGGGTGGGCTCCAGATCGCCGCATGTTGGCTCCTAGTTTGAGCCTCCGAAAACAGAGCTGGCAGAGAGGCGGACCAAAACTGAAGCTGTAACAGGTGGGGTGGCCATGATGTTTTTTTCATGTTTCCTGTTTCCTTTCCACGCAGCGAGATCTCCGGAGCCAGCCTGGCAGCACTTGATTCTTAAATGAATTTGATGGGATCCCAGCCGTCAGGGTGCCATAGTGCCAGGCCAACAGGAGTAGCTTGCTCGGTGGCATGCCTGTGGCATGCCTGGTCGCGTCCAATGCAACTGGCCAAGGCCAAGATAGCGGTGATTGCCTTTCAGTTGGCCCAGAACATCTTCTTAATGTCGGGCTATGCAGGAACGCTGAAGCAGCCCACGGGTTGTTTGAAGGAAAAGGTCTTTTGTTGCTGGATGCGATGGTAGACGGGTACTCCCCTAAACATGGCTGGATACCGTTATCCCATCATGTAAGCCTGCAGGGCTATCACACGCCCAACCAGGTGCCACATGCCCTCCCATTCGGGCAGTTTGTTTGTTTGCTTGTTTTTTTGTTTGCTTGCTTGCTTGCTTGTTTGTTTCTTGCTTGCTTGCTTGCTTGCTTGCTTGCTTGCTTGTTTGTGTTCCGGTCTTTGAGTGTTGGCACCTGCACGTTTGAACGTTTGCGTGTTTGCAGTTTGCGCGTTGATGGGCTGGCTTGTTGGCTAGTTGGCTTGTTGGCGTGTTTGTGTTTGGGCGTGCGTTGGCTGGCGGTTTGCGCCAGTAGATCTCAGCACCGTGGGACATGGCTCCTCGGTGCCAGGCCCAGATTGTGATTGAGGATGATGAGAGCGACGAGCACTTCGTATTGTCGAATGACGAGTGGCGTGAGTTCTTCAGGACCCATGGAGTCTTGGCTGCCTCCAAGTCACTTAAAATTCATCTCCGACTGGCATATTGGGGAGTGAACGCGGCGTTCTGACTGAGCGGGGCAGTCTCTTCCCATGTCGTCTGGCATGTTTGTTGAGTAGCTTTTCGGTCTTGTTTCTCTGAGTTGGAGCAATTGCGGGGCGACACCAGAATGGGATAGAACAGGCACAGCATCAAACGATTACACTTTTTGTGCTTTGAACAGTTTTGCATGGCCGCCGTGGGGCGGGCCACCGGCCTGAGGCTCGTGGAATGCCAGGGAGTGGCAGGAGCTCAAGCGACTGCAGGCATGGCCAGAGCTGGGTCTGGTATGGATCTGGTTACAGCCAGATCTCAAAACCTAATGCGGGCTGCGCCCGATCACTTTTCGCACTGGGTTCTACAAGACTACTGCCGCACTACTGCCTGGTTTCTTGGCATTTTGCGAACCTTGCACGCTACACAAAGTGGGCCGCCCTCTCAGCTGCCAACGCCTTGCGCTTGCCCGGTCGTGTAAGCATCACATTGCAGCCCATTGTCGCCTCAGAAAGAAGAACATTGTTCTTCCTGGTGATTTGAAAGGACAGCGCGTCAGTACCCCCTTGTTCTTTGGGTCCCGCCCCTGGGCTCACTCTCAAACAGGGGACCCCTTCATTGTCGAGCGACGCTTGGTTGCTTGGGGTGAAGCTAAGAGGGGTATCTGCCGCATGTCTCCCATTTTCCTCCAGGTGCCCAGGGGCAGGATTTCTCGGAGCGCTATAAGGAGACCTCGAGGGCTCGCCTTGACCTTGACAGGCCAAAGTATAGGAGTCCCATGTGCACGTGTAAACACAAGCATTCCCAGTACACTGTTTGGCATGCATCAAAAAAGGAAGAATACGTTTGAAACAAGCCGCAAGCCCTAACAGGGTGTCACTGTATTGTGCCTCAACAACTCGCTTTCGAGTTTTGGACCTTTGGGTTCGGAAAATGCTTGAAGTATCTTGAAGCAGCTTGACCTGGTGCGCAAGGGTGGTGTATCCCATGTGGTCGGAGGCAGCTTCTGATTTGTAGAATGATCATTGCTATCCAAAATGGGTTTGACGTGTCGCTGTCCTCGCTGGCACACATTGATTGGTTCGTCGGCCCCAGCATGCCCGGCCCCAGCATGCCCAGCCCAGCCCGCAAGTAATGTAGGCGACCTGCAATGAGAGACCCTTTCCCATTCATATGGCATATAAATGCCCCACGTTTCTTTTGGGGGTACGATTGACTGTGCGGCTGCTTCCAGCCTCAATGGCCTCAATCTGATGCTTGGGCCCGGCCCGTTTCCAGTCGAGTGGAGCGTCTGGAAAATGGAGAGCAACCTCGAAAAGATACCCCAGTAGAACATCGGGCCTGTAAAAATCAACTTTTAGACTCGTGCACGATAGTCGGAGATTTTCCTCGGGAGAACGGGGGCTGGACTATCCCGAGAGCTTCTGCTCTACAAAGTTCTTTTCTTGATGGGGTCAGCATCCCTCCCCCCCATTTCCTGATTGTTTGAGTTCGCAGAAGTGAAGCATCATGGGTTGGCCTCCTGACAGCCTTCGCAAACCTGGCTATGGCTGCCAGCATGTTCACAGGACCGACCGGAGCGAGGCTCTAATAGGCTCTATGCCTGCTTCCGACCCTCCAATAACCAAATCAGGTCTCTGGTCAGAAGTCGATACGACTGGCAGCTCTACGCCGTGGCCCACGTGGTCAGGCGCATGGGAGCAACCTCAGCGATGCTCGTGCATTGGTATTACTGGCTTGTTTGTTGCTCTGCAACGCTTCAAGTCCGTCGAGTACGGTAAGCCATCATGGTGGCATCCTCAAGGCTGATCCGCGCGGACAGCTTTAAGTTTCGACGTTTTCGACCAAGACTGAACGCGCAGGAATTTGTGCGAGGCACGCGGCAAGAATTGTTTCCTGACGTCCCGGATCCCAGCCTTATTTCTTTTCCATAATATGGAAAAGAGCATGGGCTGCTACGATGTCATGCTTGCGCTACGCTGTTTGCGGACCTATGGGAAATCCCAACGCGCTTGATAGACAAGGCTCTACGTCCGCCTTGGGTCGAAAACCGGAGAGAACAGAAGCATTTGGCCCTCGGTCGTGGCGAGGAGCATGACGAAGGAACGGCTAGCCTCCGGCACCGCTGTACTCATCGGGATGGCTTGGTGCTCTTTGGATCCGGATCGCTCACCGGACCAGGCTGCATGACAAAGGTCATGCCGCTTAGTGTGCAGAGCGAGTGCCTGGCACGATTGTGAACGCCGAGTTTGGCACGGTTATTGCTCTTTTCCTGAATTATTTTGTTGCATGGCCACTCTTTCGTGTGCTGAGGTTTGGGTCAACCGCCAGCCCCCGACGCTGAGTGAATATGCGACCAACACATTTTCGGGGACATTCTCTAGCGTTGATTTTCCCCAACAGCTAGCAGCTATGAGGTCCTTGCCCAAGCAAGCTTCGAATTGTAGTGTTCCGGAAGGAAGGGTTGCAGCGATCGCTGTTGGGGATATCGCCTGGGCTTACTGGACCAACAGTACATGTACCTCTGCTTCTTGTTGGTCACGAAACCTCAGGATGCTTGGCAAAACTTGTCTTGGTTGGTCATAGAGCCTCGCAACACGCCGACAAACCCCATCTTTCATGGATCCCCTACTAACCCCCGAGAGTGATCCCCCTTTTGCCCTGTTTTGGGGCGGGCTCCCTTTCAAAATCGACCGCAATAACGGCGCCCTTGGCTGGAGAGAGAGAAACATGGTGCCCTTTGTCTCTTGCCATAATGCCACACGCGCCGGTTAGGAGGACCATCCTGGACCTGAGCTTGGCACGAAGCTTGCAGGAGTGCTTGAGGGATTGAGCGGTGCGCGTAGGTTTGTGCACCCCGACCAAATGGCAATCTCCAGGAGTAATGTGTTGGTTTCCCTTAGAACTGTTGCCGGAACGCCTGAAGGATTTTGACTAAAAGGGGGGCTGACCCACCAGGCTGGCGTGAGCCTTAGCTTCAACAAAGGTTGATTCAGACCGCAATCTGTGTGTGTGTGTCTGTGTGTCTGTGTGTCTGTGTGTCTGTGTGTCTGTGTGTCTGTGTGTCTGTGTGTCTGTGTGTCTGTGTGTCTGTGTGTCTCTGTGTGTCTCTGTGTGTCTCTGTGTGTCTCTGTGTGTCTCTGTGTGTCTCTGTGTGTCTCTGTGTGTCTCTGTGTGTCTCTGTGTGTCTCTGTGTGTCTGTGTGTGTGTGTGTGTGTGTGTGTGTGTGCGTGCATGTCTCCCCTCTCATGGTGGATGGTGTGTGTGTGTGTGGGCAGGCGCGGGCGGGCAGGTTGGTGGGTGGGTGGGTGGTTGTGGGTGTTTTGGTTGGTTGGTTGGTTGGTTGGTTGGTTGGTTGGTTGGTTGGTTGGTTGGTTGCTTGCTTGGTTGGTTGGTTGGTTGGTTGGTTGGGGTTGTTGGTTGGTTGGTTGGTTGGGGTTTGTTGGTTGGTTGGTTGGCTGGCTGGCTGGCTGGCTGGCTGGCTGGCTGGCTGGCTGCTTCGCTGGCTGCTTGGCCGGCAGATTATGGGCCGCCTCAGTTGCTTGAGATGGGTTCAGAGCAGGGTTCTGGCTGTGTGAGAGTTCACTCAGACTTGGGTCGCTATTCTATATATTGGCTTTGGGTTAGTCTAGTTCACGGCTTGGGGTGGTGTTTGGCTGAATCGGGTTGGGATTAAGTGTCTAATTTTTGCCTACTAGCAATATCCTCTCCAGCCTGAAGCTTATTGCATGTGTATTTTCGGAGTTCCTTTTTCACCTTGTTTGTTTGCCATGCCCTACTGAGAACACCTTTCGTGAGACCCCGGGTTGTGGTACGCTTGGCCAACCAACTCGCACTTGGTCATGCGCGCCCGAAGATCACAGAGCAGGTGTTTGGAGCATGCATGGATGGCAAGAGTAAGGTTTGCAGCTGGATGCGCTGCTTGCTGTTGCCTTGACTTGCCGTGGGCCAATTGGGTGGTCGATGGTGGTCGGAGAGGCAAATCTGGGATTGGACTGAAGATTGCAGCACAGAGAAGGAATGTGACGGCAGGTCAAGCTCCTGCGAATTCTGGGTGTTCACATCCCTGAGGACGGACCGGGGTACCTAGCTTTGACAGGCATGGGCTGCATCGCATCTTGCTTTCGGATGGAATGGCCTGAGTGGATTGTTGGAAGGATTGTAGTGGCACTAGCTGAAGCAAAATTGTTCCTCGTGGCTCTCGCACAGGAGCTCGAGACAGAGAAGGAAGACGCAGCGTCCGCGGCGTCTTCTGGCGTTCAGCAGGAAGATTCCTCTGAGGAGTGGCAAACCGCTCAAGAGTTATGACAGGAAGTGTATTCAAAGACATACGATCCATAGAGCCGAGTTTTTGATGTTGACCCAATCAAAGTCCGCAAAGGATTCGCCATTTCATGGTTGCGAACCTTGAGGGTGGCCGTTCCCACTCTCCGTGTCCGGGACCTGTCCGAAACCTTTCCGCACCATTCCGCATCCACCTTTGAGCTGCTGCAACTGAGGTGGTGTGCGCACACGCGGAAGAGCCAGTTCATGCACAGAGCCATTTCTGCCTGCCTTCTCTTCTCCAGTTTTCATGATTGTGTTTTTTTTCGCCTTGGCTTGCTCGCGTTTATTTTCTAAGAAAGCACACCCAGTAAGTTCCAGTGCGCACCAGCATCGGTCCAGGACAAAAAACTGCTCTCGGATCTAGCGCAGCAGGCCCAGCCAACCCAGCTGGAAGGTGAGGGGAGGCCAGAATCAGAAGCAGAGGCACCGGCAGCCGAAGAACCCGCAGCTGATGTACTGGAAGCAGAGGCACCGGAAGCTGAAGAACCAGCAGCCGCTGTACTGGAAGCAGAGGCACCGGAAGCTGAAGAACCAGCAGACGCACCGGAAGCAGAGGCACCGGAAGCCGAAGAACCGGCAGCAGAGGCACCGGAAGCAGAGGCACCGGAAGCTGAAGAACCAGCAGCCGCTGTACTGGACGCAGAGGCGCCGGAAGCTGAAGAACCAGCAGACGCACCGGAAGCAGAGGCACCGGAAGCCGAAGAACCGGCAGCAGAGGCACCGGAAGCAGAGGCGCTGGACGCCGAAGAAACGACAGCAGAGGCACCGGAAGCAGAGGCACCGGCAGCCGAAGAACCCGCAGCTGATGTACTGGAAGCAGAGGCACCGGAAGCTGAAGAACCAGCAGCCGATGTACTGGACGCAGAGGCGCCGGAAGCTGAAGAACCAGCAGAGGCACCGGAAGCAGAGGCACCGGCAGCCGAAGAACCCGCAACTGATGTACTGGAAGCAGAGGCACCGGAAGCTGAAGAACCAGCAGCCGCTGTACTGGAAGCAGAGGCACCGGAAGCTGAAGAACCAGCAGACGCACCGGAAGCAGAGGCACCGGAAGCCGAAGAACCGGCAGCAGAGGCACCGGAAGCAGAGGCGCTGGACGCCGAAGAAACGACAGCAGAGGCACCGGAAGCAGAGGCACCGGCAGCCGAAGAACCCGCAGCTGATGTACTGGAAGCAGAGGCACCGGAAGCTGAAGAACCAGCAGCCGCTGTACTGGAAGCAGAGGCACCGGAAGCTGAAGAACCAGCAGACGCACCGGAAGCAGAGGCACCGGAAGCCGAAGAACCGGCAGCAGAGGCACCGGAAGCAGAGGCGCTGGACGCCGAAGAAACGACAGCAGAGGCACCGGAAGCAGAGGCATCGGCAGCCGAAGAACCTGCAGCTGATGTACTGGAAGCAGAGGCACCGGAAGCTGAAGAACCAGCAGCCGATGTACTGGAAGCAGAGGCACCGGAAGCTGAAGAACCAGCAGACGCACCGGAAGCAGAGGCACCGAAAGCCGAAGAACCGGCAGCAGAGGCACCGGAAGCAGAGGTGCTGGACGCCGAAGAAACGGCAGCAGAGGCGCCGGAAGCAGAGGCACCGGCAGCTGAAGAACCAGCAGCCGCTGTACTGGAAGCAGAGGCACCGGAAGCTGAAGAACCAGCAGACGCACCGGAAGCAGAGGCACCAGAAGCCGAAGAACCGGCAGCAGGGGCACCGGAAGCAGAGGCGCTGGACGCCGAAGAAACGGCAGCAGAGGCACCGGAAGCAGAGGCACCGGCAGCCGAAAAACCCGCAGCTGATGTACTGGAAGCAGAGGCACCGGAAGCTGAAGAACCAGCAGCCGATGTACTGGAAGCAGAGGCACCGGAAGTTCAAGAACCAGCAGACGTACCAGAATCCGAGCAACCAGCAGAGGCGCCGGAAGCCGAAGAGCCAGCAAAAGCACCGGAAGCAGAGGCAACGGAATCCGAAGAAGAGGCAGAAGCACCGGAAGCCGAAGAACCGGCAGCAGAGGCACCGGAAGCAGAGGCACCGGAAGCTGGAGAACCAGCAGCCGCTGTACTGGACGCAGAGGCGCCGGAAGCTGAAGAACCAGCAGACGCACCGGAAGCAGAGGCACCGGAAGCCGAAGAACCGGCAGCAGAGGCACCGGAAGCAGAGGCGCTGGACGCCGAAGAAACGACAGCAGAGGCACCGGAAGCAGAGGCACCGGCAGCCGAAGAACCCGCAGCTGATGTACTGGAAGCAGAGGCACCGGAAGCTGAAGAACCAGCAGCCGATGTACTGGACGCAGAGGCGCCGGAAGCTGAAGAACCAGCAGAGGCACCGGAAGCAGAGGCACCGGCAGCCGAAGAACCCGCAACTGATGTACTGGAAGCAGAGGCACCGGAAGCTGAAGAACCAGCAGCCGCTGTACTGGAAGCAGAGGCACCGGAAGCTGAAGAACCAGCAGACGCACCGGAAGCAGAGGCACCGGAAGCCGAAGAACCGGCAGCAGAGGCACCGGAAGCAGAGGCGCTGGACGCCGAAGAAACGGCAGCAGAGGCACCGGAAGCAGAGGCACCGGCAGCCGAAGAACCCGCAGCTGATGTACTGGAAGCAGAGGCACCGGAAGCTGAAGAACCAGCAGCCGATGTACTGGAAGCAGAGGCACCGGAAGCTGAAGAACCAGCAGACGTACCGGAATCCGAGCAACCAGCAGAGGCGCCGGAAGCCGAAGAGCCAGCAAAAGCACCGGAAGCAGAGGCAGCGGAATCCGAAGAAGAGGCAGAAGCACCGGAAGCTGAAGAACCCGCAACAGATGCACCAGAAGCAGAGGCACCGGAAGCCGAAGAACCGGCAGAAGCACCGGAAACAGAGGCACCGGAAGTCGAAGAGCCAGCAGAAGCACCGGAAGCAGCGGCACCGGCAGCCGAAGAACCCGCAGCTGATGTACCGGAAGCAGAGGCACCGGAAGCTGAAGAATCAGCAGAAGAGGCACCGGAAGCCGAAGAACCGGCAGCAGAGGCACTGGAAGCAGAGGAAACGGAATTTGAACAACCAGCAGCAGCAGCAGCAGCAGCACCGGAAGCAGAGGCACCGGAGGCCGAAGAACCAGCAAATGCACCGGAAGCAGAGGCAACGGAATACGAAAAACCGGCAGAAGCACCGGAAGCCGAAGAACAAGCGGAAGCAGAGGGACTAGAATCCGAAGAACCGGCAACAGCAGTGCCGGCAGCAGAAGCACCGGAAGCAGAAGAACAGGAAGCAGAAGCACTGGCAGGAGAGGCACCGACGGGACTGGCAGCAGAAGAGCCAGCAGAAGCACCGGCAGCAGAAGAGGTGGCAGCAGAAGCACCAGCAGCAGAATCACTGGCAGCTGAAGCAGCGGCTGTGCCAGCAGATGATCCCAGGGACGGCGAGGAGGATGCGAGTGATCATGATTCTGAATCGTACGAGGAGTCGGAGCAGTCCGATCATTCTGATCATTCCGAGCATTTTGGCCATACTGATCAATCCGAGCAGTCCGATCATGATTCTGAGTATTCCGAGCACTCCGAGCACTCCGAACACTCCGAACTCTCCGAACACTCTGAACACTCAGAGCTTTCAGAGGCAAGCGAGACTGCAGAGGAGGATCCCGGTGAGGATCTTGGTGAGGATCTGGGGCCTCAGAAGCCCAAGGCAGAGCCAGCCATGGCCTCGGCAAGTGCAAGGCTTCAGGTGGCTCCTGGAGCTGATCCTGCAGCCTCGAGCAATGCGCCTTCCAGCCAGTCTGAGCGCATTCAGGCTGGCAGTTCCATGCGCTGATTCTGGAGATGTTGGCAGTCCACAGGGGAATCCACGCATTGAAGCCACTCTTGTCCAGCTTACAGCTGCCCTTCTTTCTGCCCGGCCCCCCTTTTCCCCCCTACAAAGATGTTCTAATGTCAGCCTGAAAATGTGCAGGATGCAGCAGCGCCTGCCGAGCCCAAAGCAGGAGCAACACAGCGGCTTGCCACTGTAGCTGAGCCATCTATCGTGAGCGAGTCCGACTCAAACCAGCCTGAGGCAGAGCCAGGCGACAGCTTTGCCCCGAATACTCCACAGGACAGCGCGGGCGAGGACGACTCCCGCCTGGTAGGCCAGCTCTTGCGCGGTGTGGAGGTACCTGGCCCCAAGGCCAAGGCGGCCAGCGCTGGCGAAGGGGCGCACACCACGGGCGCTATGGGCACCGCGGGCGCCATTGGCGCCGTCGGCGCAGGCGCGGCGGGCACGCCCTCGCAGCTGCCTGGCCCAGAGCAAACTGCAGAGATGGACAGGACAGCAAGTTGCAAGGTTTCAGCTTGAATTCTTCGTAAGGTTTTTCCTTGGCGCGTCCTGGCGCCTAGCCTCTTCTCCAATGGTTTGTGTCTTTGCGTCAGCCTCAGGAGCAATGATGAGAGGACCATCGCAGACATCCATGCTGCAGAAGTTCGTGCTAGCCCAGACGCAAGCCCAGACGCGGGCAGGTCCTCCGCACAGGCGGCGTGCGCATGCATAGTGTATTGCATCTCTCACATGAGCCAATTCTATTATATTCGATTCATAAATCATAATATTATGTGTTTTTGGTTAATATGTGTTTGAAAATTGAATGAAACAATATATACGACATATGCAATTTATGTGATTGTTTTATATAACTAAGAACTGAATATAGTGCGCGCCAACTTTGCTGCGGCATCCTAAGGTCCTATGCAAACTGCATTTTCGGACAACCTTATTGAACATATGCATGTCTTTTGCCTAAACGTGTTGATTTCCACTTGGAGTCACAACCATGCTTGCGCGAACAAACTGCGGCCCCACTGTGCCCAGACGCCGCTTTCAGCAGCTCTCAGGCCAGCGGGGTGCACGCGGAGCCCGAGCAGAAGAAGAAAATGGACTTCCTTTTCGCAACTGCCGAGGCCCAGGACTGGATCACTGGATCACCGGCCCGCGTGGTGTGTCATGACAGTGGGGAGCCCTCCGTGTGGTTTTTTCAAAGTGCATTTTAAATATTTTACATACTTCTACTAGTCCCGCAAGACAGCATGCCATGTTTCCGCGAAGGAAGCCAAGGAAGCCGAGACGGCCAAAAAAGCGGAAGAGTCCGCAGAGAAGGTGCCTCCCTTTGCAGCGCCCTCCGCCGCCATGCGGGCGCGACTCGCGCAGTTTGGGAAGGCACCGGGGCGACACAGGGTTTGGTCAATCAGCAAGTTTGAATGCTAAGTCGTTTGACAGCTCCTTGCGTTTTCTTGAGCGAGAAGTTCAAGGAATCAGAAAGCAAGTCGCTGCTAGAACGTGCCTGCAGCGCCCCTGAGGCAGAATCCACTGCGGCAGCCAGCACTCAGGCAGGCAAGCTTTCCTGCATTTGTGTTGCACCACCTTGTGGCATTCCAGCTGCCAATACCTGCTCAGAAGCAACGAGGGAGCCACATGTGTTTTGGCCACAGCGTGCTCCTAGTATAGGCCAGCTTCATCCTTAGGAGCTGTATTATCAGCTCTTCTTTTTTTTGCAAAGTTTCGGGGCAGGTTTGCTTGCACCATTGGCACAGGAACTGAACGGGCCTGCTGGGTAGCACCAACATCATGTTGCCTCAAACATGGTCCGGGGCTGGACATGCAGCCACATGATGTCCACAACAGGGTCCAGCCACCTGAAACCCACACCCACGTGAGAACGGCCTGAAATCAATGAATCAAGCACCGCAGTTTTGTGTCAGGTAGAGTCCAGCAAGAAGGCCGCCAAGGCCCGCGGTGTGATCCCTGTTGCAGGGATCGCCAGCTTCCTGTTGGCAATTGGCCAGGCAGAGCTTGAAACCGTTTGGTTGTATGGGACCTAGGTTTGGTCAAAGCATGTGAAAGGTCGAGGTCAAGTCTGGCATCCGGACAAGTGACCCGCCAGGAGTCAGAGCCGCTGAAGGCATGGGGGAGGGGTGCTGGATGGATGGGGCGGGTTCCAGATCGGGTAGTGTTCTGCAAAGAAGGATGTCTATAGACAGAATTGTTTTTGGCAATGTTCTGAAAAGAAGGCTCGCTAGAACGTACGAATGGGTTGTGGCAATGTTCCGGCAAGTAGGGTCCCTAGAAAGGTCGGCGCTTGGCAGTGCCCCGCAGAAGAACCGTCGGTCCAGGACGCAGACCTGGCACCGGATCCGCAGTCCTCGATCGAGGGCACCTGGACGAGCTCGGGCAGCCAGCTGCAAAGTGCAGCGCAGAGCTCTGGAGCAGCCCCCTTGGCCCACGAGCTGCCTAGGTGTGAAGCAGCACGCTTTTGCTTTCCTTCTTTTTGTGAAAGAGAGATGCATGTTATCGTTCTTGAAGAGGCATTCGGCATTTTGGTTGCTTCTGCTTTTTCTCCTTTTTGAGAAAGGAAGAGCGGCATGTTTTGTGTTGTTTTGCGAAGTGGCATCCAGGATTCGCATTCCTTCGAACGAGTAGGGTTCAAGAGAGAATTCTCCCACCCCCGAAAGGGGGTTGATCTTTTTTCCCTGTCAGTCCCACCACTGGTCAAGGTTGAGCCTGCCTCCTCTGGGCAAAGCGGATGTGGGCAAGGAGGTTCCAAGCTCTGGCGCCGAGCAGTACCTGCTAGGGGAGGCAGAAGGGCTAAAGGAAACATAGGAAACCTTTTGCTTTTGCAAGCCCGCCATCAACTAGCCAGCCAGTCAGTATGGCCCAACGGTTGAGTATTGTACTGTTTTCCACCAGGGCTGTCAGGCCCTGGTCAGAATTTCTGGGGCCCGTCCATTTTTTCTGTTGAAAGCTACAAGCGCTAAGTTTCCCACAGCCCGCGGTCGCATTTGGGGGGTCACAGTCGCAACGGGGGCATGTCTTCCAGACCGATCCTCAAGTGAGGAATCTCCCGCTGCAAGTTCGCCATCCTCGGATCGCAAGCGGCGGGTGCGTTTCCAGGAGGTCCCGGAGACGGCACCGGCAGCAGAAGCCCCGGCGCCCTGGAAGTTGCATCTACCTCCTTTTGACAAATATAACCTGACAAGCTCCCTGAGTCTTAGTTCCCCCCGAAGCCTTCGCATGCACGTCGCAACAGTCTTAACTTGCATGTCCCAGACCTCGCTATCCCCAAGTGAGGTTGCTCCAGCTCGAACTCCGTCAGACTTGGACGCGGAGAGCATGATGTGGCTGGGGTGCCTGGAGTCGGCACCGGCAGCTGAAGCACCGGCGGCACCGACAGCAGAAGCACCGGCAGCAGAGGCGCCCACCTTGGATTTTTGCGTCTAGTCCGTTCCCCTTTTTGAAAAATACAACCGGTTGATAGGGTGTGCTGGACGCTGAGCGTTAGTCAGTTCCAGACTCGGCTATCCACACGTGAGGCAACTCCTGCAACTCCGTCAGACTTGGATGCAGAGGGCACGCAGGGGTATCCGAAGTCGGAACGACTACCTGTCGCAGTGCCAGAGGCACTGGCAAGGCCGGTGGCAGAAGAAGTACCGGCAGCAGAAGCACAGGCAGCAGAGGCACTGCCAGCACAAGAGCTGGCAGCAGAAGCGCCGACGGCAGAATCACCGGCGGCAGAAGCACCGGCGGCAGAAGCACCGGCAGCGGAAGCAGCTGCTGTGCCAGCCGATGAGTCCAGGGACGGCGAGGAGGATGCGAGTCATCATGATTCTGAATCGTACGAGGGGTCGGAGCAGTCCGATCATTCTGATGATCATTCCGAGCATTCTGACCATTCTGATGAATCCGAGCAGTCCGATCATGATTCTGAGTATTCCGAGCACTCCGAGCACTCCGAACACTCCGAACACTCTGAACACTCAGAGCTTTCAGAGGCAAGCGAGACTGCAGAGGAGGATCCCGGTGAGGATCTTGGTGAGGATCTGGGGCCTCAGAAGCCCAAGGCAGAGCCAGCCATGGCCTCGGCAAGTGCAAGGCTTCAGGTGGCTCCTGGAGCTGATCCTGCAGCCTCAAGCAATGCGCCTTCCAGCCAGTCTGAGCGCATTCAGGCTGGCAATTCCATGCGCTGATTCTGGAGATGTTGGCAGTCAACAGGGGAATCCATGCATTGAACCCACTCTTGTCCAGCTTAAAGCTGCCCTTCTTTCTGCCCGGCCCCCCTTTTCCCCCCTACAGAAATGTTCTAACGTCAGCCTGAAAACGTGCAGGATGCAGCAGCGCCTGCCGAGCCCAAAGCAGGAGCAACACAGCGGCTTGCCACTGTAGCTGAACCATCTATCGTGAGCGAGTCCGACTCGAACCAGCCTGAGGCAGAGCCAGGCGACAGCTTTGCCCCGAATTCTCCACAGGACAGCGAGGGCGAGGACGACTCCCGCCTGGTAGGCCAGCTCTTGCTCGGCGTGGAGGTGCCTGGCCCGAAGGCCAAGGCGGCCGGCGCTGGCGCCGGGGCCCAAACCTCTGCGGCCAGCACCATGGGCGCTATGGGCACCGCGGGCGCCATTGGCAGCGTCGGCGCAGGCGCAGCGAGCACCCAGGTGACGGAGCTGGAGCAGCGCGCCCCAGCGGCCGGCAAAGCGGCAGAGCAACCGCCCACGCAGCCCATCAGCCGTTGCATGAGCGTCGCGGACTCTGAGCAGCCAGAGCCGGAGATTGGGGAGCAGAGCGACATCTCCGCCAGTGCGGGTTTGGCCAACGTTCCGAAGAAGGATCCCAGAACACAAAAGAGTATGTTTTTGGGCAATGTTCCGCGAAGAAGGATCTGTAGAAAGAATCATGTTTGGCATCGTTCCGAAAAGGAGGATCTCCAGAATGGGTTTGGGCATTTGTCTGTAAAGGATCTCTAAGGACCCCTCTGAACAATACACGTCCAAACTGGTCCAGGACACGGAGCCGGATCTGAAGCCGCGGGCATCGATCCAGGGCACCTGGACAAGCTCGGGCAGCCAGCTGGAAAGTGCCGCGCAGGGAGCAGCTCCCTGGGCCGCACAACCCGTGGCGAAGGCGTCGGCTGGCATTGCGAGCGACAAGGAGAAGGAGAGCCCCAGTGCTCAGCGGAGCGTTGCAAAGTCGGACAGGACCGAGCTGCCCGACCCAGAGCGGGCTGCAGAGATTCATGCTGCAGAAGTTCGTGCTAGTCCAGATGTAAGCGCTGCGGTGAAGTCCTCGTCGCAGGCCGGGGGCATCCATACAAGTTCATGCGCACCAATTCTGCTGCGGCATCCTACGCAAACTGCATTTCCGGACAGCCTTTTCGAACACATGCATGGCCCCCGCCTAAAAGTGTTTTTTGCTTGGAGGTATGCCCAACTTGTCCCCGCAAAGCCAGCAAAAGGACCACGCTGACATGTTCACAACCACGCTTGTGTGAACAAATGAGTGGGGGCCCCACGTGTCCACGGGCTAAGTGCTGCTTTCCGCGGCTCTCAGGCCAGCGGAGCACATGCGGAGCCCGTTGAGCAGCAGAAGAAAATGGACTTCCTTTTCGCAGGAACTATTGAGGCCCAGGACTGGATCACTGGATAGTGGGGAGCCCTTCAATGGTTGGCCTGCGTGAATTCCAAGTTTTCCCCCAGAAAGCTGAGAGCTACACAGGTGTCTAACTTAAAGGAAGGGGTGTGTGGACAAACAAATGGTGTCGCAGGGTGCCAGGGTGCTGTTGTGGGGGTTGCCACTTATTGAGCTGAAGGGGGTTGCAGGTGTTGTGGGGGGTGCCGTTGGTGAGCTGGGTGTGCGGTGCATTGTCTTACAGGGTGCTGTCGCAAGGGGGGGTGTCGTTGGTGAGCGGGGCTTGCGTTTTGTTTCGTATTTTGTTTGTGGCCTATTCTGTTATATATAGTTGTTGCAAAGTCCCGAATTTGAGGATTGCAGCTCAAAAACTGCCTAGCTTCCATGGTTCAAGGTTATTATGGGCCTTGAAGGATGCCAAGGAAGACGAGAAAGCGGAAGAGTCCAAGGAGAAGGTGCCTGCCTTCGCAGCGCCCTCCGCCGCCATGCGGGCAGGCACCAAGCAGGGGCCATTGGAAGACTTGGGCGTCGTCATGTCAGCGGAAGGGCGCGCCAAAGCATCGGCAGTGGCAGCTGCAGTGGAAAGAGCCCAAGGGCTGGACGCGGCAAAGGAGGGCGGTTGGTTTGTTATAGTTTGATATGTTTTGATGTTGTGTTTCTCGCAAGTTTGTTCTGGACCGTCATGTTGTTTTTTTTCCTGCTTGTGTCCGGCGGTGCAATGCCCAGAACCCAAACGCGAGCATGGTTGAAAAAACTGCCTAATCTCCCACCCGGAGGAAGTGGCTAAAGTGGCTGAAACGCTTGGAAGGGATGAGGGTGCAGGCCCGGGAGGGTCTTTGGGGGCGCGGATGCGCGCGTCATATCTCGTACCTTCTTGGACTTAAACATCACCTCAAGGATGAAGGCGCATCAAAGTAGTCCAACGCCTACTGTGAGCAACGTTGTGATGGACAGCATGTTTGCATTCATCATTGCGGCTAAGTTGGATTTGCCCTATGTCTCTCACGATGTCACCTGATCGATCTCTGGCTGCCGAGTAACATGGGATCGCGCACGTCATTGCTTGCTCGGACCTGTTGGGCGCTCACGGGCAAGTTGTTTGTGGCCCAAGAGGCCACGGGGTTTCTCACCATCTGAAAGTCGAAAGTCCAAAAACGGGGAGAAGGGGAAGAGCTTCTGAAGGCCCCCAGTTGGCTGAGCCTCCGTCATGGCTCGGCTTTGTATTTTGCGAGCTTAGCGCCCCTTCAGAACGCAAGTTGCCCTCGTCCTTGGACTGCGAGGAGCTCCAGAGTTGCTTTCTGAGGAAGCGGGGCGATTTTCCAGGACCTCACTATTCATTGTTTGAAAGAACACTCTCATTTTTGGGAGCGTTGCAGCCCACTTCTTTCATTGAGTCTTTAAGTCTTGAAACATTCTCCCTCCCAAAGACTGGCGGTTCCTGGTTGGACCTATTTCCATCTTGTGCACTTCTATGATTCTTGGAAATAAGGTAGCCCTTTTATTACTTGAAATCCTGGGGTGAATCCAGGGCAGGAAATCCCGATTTTTGCTTAAATCCCTACAGGATTGAAACCAGGGAAGCACTTCAAGCACTCTCAGGTACAACTGTCATTCTCCAGCCGCTTCCCCCCTTTCAAAGGCACCAGCTTTCCACCAGGAGCTTCCCCCCAACAACGGCCAGGTCGAAATGCTGTGGGCTTCCGGCTTTCTCACGCGATTTGTTGTTTCCCACCCGTCAAACGGGGCTAAACATATTGTTTTGGAAAACCCGCCTGCAGCCGTATACTATTACGGGGTAGGAGAAGACCAGGACCTATCCAGGACTGAAGCATTTGACTAAGATGGTAAGCTTCCTGTCACACACTTTGCGGGGAAGATAACTCGGAAGGGGTCGGCAAACTTCGGAACATCAAAGGTGGAAGAAAACTCTCCGAAGAACTGACTATCGCAACGTGACGTTTCGCGATGTCTTCAGCCCGCAAAAACGCCGCTACACCAGCTGGCAATGGAGCCTGGGACGCTGGGAAAAACTGGCGGAGAACGACTCTGGCCGGAAGAGCTAAAAGTCGGAAGGTTGGCCGGAAAAAAAACTTGGAAGCAGGGCCCACGGCCAAAAGAACTGGGAAAACTGGCCGAAAAACCTTGCGGAAGGGCGTGAAAAGCTTGGAAAGATTGGCGGGGACAAACTTGGAAACACTTGGCGGGAAAAGCCCAGGAAAACTGCGCGGAAAAACTCGGCCAAACTGGGCGGGAAAAAAAGGAAGAAAAACAGCAACGCAAAACGGGCGGAACTCGAAACAAACTGGGCGGAAAAACTGGGCGGAAAAGCTCAGAAAAAATAAAAATAAAACACTGAGCGCAAAACAGTACATCGGAGAAGCTGGCCAGAGTCAGCAGCAAAACATCCCAGAAAAACTCGAGAAACGGCGCGATCCGACGATGCGCAGATTCCTGAGAGAAAATAGCGTTGCAAGTCTGCGGGATGGTTCGCACTGGCAATTTGTGTTTTTGTCCCTGGTCCTGGAGCCTATTGGTTCAATTTGCGCACCTGTCGCCAACCAGTCGAATCGCTGTAAACCAAATTCTGTGCACAACATGGTTGTGAGAATCTAAAAAAGGGCCTGGTGGCCTTTGTGTAGTTGGGGCTGCCTTGCCTTTTTGGGCTAAACCCACCCGCAGGAACCCTTACAATTTGAATCCCTAGATCATGAATCCGCAGCCCTGAGACAGGCGTCCTTGTATTGGGGCAAAAGTGGCATGGCAATCTGCCTTGCCTTTGTGGCAGGCCAAGCGGTGCCTCAGCGGTTTGTCCCGGGACCTGAAGATGCGGCAGGTGAAAACCCCAGCAGTGCAGTCCGCAGATTCGGCGGTGCGGCCGGTGTTCAGCGGGCCCAAGGAGCAGGAGGAGGGCCCGAACAAACCGACTGGGGGGGGTGGGGGGGGAAGGGGGTTGCTTCGATCAGGGGCTGAATTGACTCTAAGTGTTCGCCAAACGAAACTTTGTACAGGTGCCAGCATCCCACAATTGAGACGTGCAAAGGGACGCTCTCAAACTGAGTAAACTGTCTACTCGAAATCAGCGATAAATCTATCAACAGGGCCTGCCGCACCATGCAGCTGGGACTGTCCGCGAAGCCTTCACTTGCCCGAACAGGTTTTGATTGTGGCTCTGGTGATTTTGCCCCCCAGCGCTGCTCATGCGAAACCCGGTTCAACGAGTTGCCAGGGTTATGTACACAGGTAGCTTGTGATTGTGGAATGTTGGGTCTCAGGGCAACATCATCTGATAGAATAGGCTGGCAGGAGGCACTATTGCAATTGATATTTATCCCACAATCTGTTGTATTTTGGCATTCTGACATCGGGCCCCTCATGGGCCTTTGCGTTACTCAAATGAAAGGGCCCAAACTGGTGCCGCGACGCATGGAGGCCTGGCGCTTCAGCCACCGTCGCAAACTTCCGCGCATGTGCCGGGCACTGGGCAGAGCCAGGAAGCAGAGGCAGGGATGCGTGATAGGCACGAGGGCGAGACGGCAATGCCCGAGCTTGACAGTTATCCTGAGTCGATTGACAGCTCGCGCTCCCTCGCATGAAGCCAGAAAGGAAGTCGCTGTTAGCACGTGCATCCAGCGCTGCTTCAGGCGGAATTCACCGAGGCAGCCAGCACTCAGGCAGGCAAGCTCTACTTTCCGCATTCGTGTCGCATATCGAAATCTGGCATTACGGAGGTGAGCAGGGAGCCACTTGCTTTTTGGCCACAGCAAGCGTACTCCTAGTAAAGGCTAGCTTGATCATCAGGTGCTGGATTAGCTCGTTTGTTGCAATGCCTCCGGCTTCCGAGCGGGCTGGCCCGCACCATTTGCACGAAACCTGAACGTTTGGGACTGTTGGGTAACGCGAACATCATAATTATTGCCCCATGCTCGGTTGGCATGCCGCCCCTAAATGATGCCCACCGAAAGGTCCAGCCGCTTGAAACCCACAGCATTTTGAGAATGCCCTGAACTCACTGGGTCAAGAGCAGCTGTGTCAGGCGGAGTCTCCCACGAAGGTGGCCAAGCGCAGTTGGAAACTGTGAGGTTCCCCTATATTTGGTCCCAGGTTTGGTGAAAGGTCAAGCTTAAGCCTTTCCTCCCCTTTCTTCGGACAAGTGAAATTATGTGAGGCCAGTGGTAAGACAACTAATCCGGCCAAGCGCGCCACCGGCCTGCCTCCCTGAAACAACGATTCCTTCAGAAGCGCCGGGCTCTCCTTCTGGCAGGCCCGCCAGCTGCACAAGGCATGGGGAGGGCTGGATCGGAACGCGTCGGCTCGAGTGGGTCAAAACTCGAGTTGTGAAAGACGGGGGGATGTGACCCTTCCCCTCCCTCACGTCACTGAGGAACTCATTCCCTCTCCAGGCAGCGATGGCAGCACTTGCCCTGGGCAAAGTGAATTGAAGTGATCATGTGCCTAGTGCTTTTGTGGGCATGGTTTTTGGCATCTTTGGGCAATGCTCCGACAACAAGGATTTCTGTAAGCATTGCTTTTGTGCAGTATTCCGATGAACATGATCCCTAGAAATAATGTTGCTTGGCAATATTGCGAAAGAAGGCTCCCTTGGCAATGTTCCGAAAGAAGGCTCCCTTGGCAATGTTCCGAAAAGCAGGCTGCCTAGAAAGAATCAATGTATTTTGCCGATCTTCCGGAAAAAAAGGGCTCCGTAGGAAGAATGGACTGTGAACATGTTCCGGAAAAGAAGGCTTCCTTGAAAAACTGGACTGTCAATGTTCCATTGCCTAGAAATCGTGGTTTGTGGCAATGCTCCGGAAGACCAAGGTCTCTAGAAAGAATGGTGTTTGGCCGTGTTCCGAAGTGCAGGAACCCCAGAGAAGACCTGTTTTAATGCGCCAAAATGAGGATTCCCTAAAAAGAGTTGTGACAATCAGTTTGCAAAAAGAAGGATCCCTAGAAAGAATGGCTTTTGGAAGCTGTTGACATCTTTGGGAATGTCCTAAGAAGCAACAACTAAAATTTCCAGACAGTCCAAGCAAGAGAGTCGCCAAAGAAACCCCGTCAGCAAGCAAGCAACATGGGAAAACACTTGGTTTCCCGCCTGCCAATGCTCAGAAGTTGAGATACAGCCCACACAAGAATAGAAATGCGACTGAGAGGCAAAGGCGGACGAGTAACGATCAGGGTAAACCACACTCGTGGCCGAAAGCCACATTTTTTGGCGTCTGGCGTTGCCGCAAAACAAACGCATACCCACAAACGAACGCACAGAAAGCAGCAAGTGCAAACACACCCCGGAGCAAAAACAGACGTCCGACATCTGACACAGGGCGTTTTTCAAGCACACGGAATGTCTACAAATCATCTGAACAGCCGAACCCTCCTTCCCCCCGCCCCCACCTTTGCTCTGCTTCGAAGTGCTAGGCTCCTGGAGCCAAGCCGTCCACCATGGAGGCTGAGGCAGGGGCTGTGCCGACCGAGTCCATCAGGTTCGTGGTGGCGGGTACTTAAAGGGGCGACCGGGTACTTAGGATAGTAAGGCTGGTTATAGCGCACTTAGGAGACTTATAACCAGGGCAACTGGGTTAAACCAGGCTTGCTCGCCACTTCCTAAGTACCATGCCCGTTCAAGCATGCGATGTGCGGCCAGATAGACCGCTAGACGAAAGTTGCTTGAAACGCTGGTCTGTGGCCTGTGGCCCCTCCATCGTTTTGGAGCGATGGGTGCGTCGACTGTGTCTTTGATGTCTCAACGATTTCTCAAAACACAACATGTGTCAATCGGCTTGTCATGCTGCGGGATTACACTGCCTCATGTTAGACACGCCACTCCGCAACTAGTGAGACAACATGCATACCTGCAGCCAAGCAGAGCGCTGGTTTCATGCTTTGTGCACGCCGGTAGTCCCGGAGCATGTTCGGGGTCTCTTGCCAGGCTCAAAAAGAACCCATGCTAACGGCGTTGTGTCTTGTAATCCACGAATAGCTTGAGAGGACCAGCGCACATGGACTCGCTCGGGCAACCAAATGCCAGCGGGCCCGCTATTCTTCCATGGGTCCGATCGGAAGCCCGAACGCCTTTCACCAACAAAGCCTGCCTGTTGTCTAATTGTCTAATTTGGCTTCTTTTGCAGCTTTCTGGATTTGCATTCTGAAGGACATTCCTAGAAATAATTTCTTTGCTAATGTTCCGAAAGAAGGATCCCTGGGATCTTGGAAGTATATAAAGGACATTTCCAAACAAGCCCATCGGACTGGCGTCGGTCCAGGACACGGACCTGCCATCGGATCCGGAGCTGCTTGCCTCGATAAAGGGCACCTGGACGAGCTCGGGCAGCCAGCTACAAAGCGCAGCGAGTGCGGCGCAGAGCTCTGGAGCAGCCCCCTTGGCCTACCAGCCGCCCAGGTGTGAAGCAGCACGCTTTTGCTTTCCCTTCTTTGAAAGCGGGGTGGCATCCGGCTTGCTTTTTTTCACGCTCAGGTTTAAAGAGAGAAGTCACCCACCCCGCAAGTCAGGGCTGGCTTTGTCGCTTTTTCCTCGGTGGGTTCCAGCACCTGGCAAGGTTGAGCGTGCCTTTCCCGGGCAAAGCGGATGTGGGCAAGGCGGATCTTGGCAAGCTGCTCTCGCGGGCGGTTCCAAGCTTTAGGGCAGTGGGGGAGCAAGTGGAAAACGCTAGCATATTCTGCGACGTGCGTACAGGAAACATATGAACCCACAAGGGGATGGGCGACCATTTGGTTTGTAAGGCCTGCCACTCATTAGCATAGGACACCACAAGGGCATGGGCGAGCACTTGTTCATATCATTAGTATGGCATGGCCCAACGGTTGAGTCATAGGCAAGCTTCTTATGCATTCTTTTCCGCCAGGACTATCAGGCCCTTGTTGCAATTTCTACTGCCCACCGTGGAAGTTGCGTCTAGTCCATTCCTCTTTTTGACAAATCCAACTTGTCGATGTTGAGAAGGAACTTCCGCAGCCAAAGGAAGCTTAAAGCAATCGCGGAAAAGAGCGACCCTCTGCGAGTTTTGGCTTGTCCGGCTGGCTGAAAGCTACCCCGGGTGCGCCGCCCCTGGAAACATATCATTAGTATGGCCCAGAATGTCAGGCCCCTGTCCCGACTTCTACGGCCCGCCCTGGAAGTTGCGTGAAGACTGGGACCTTCACATTTGGGGGCACTTCACAAGAGCTTCACCTTGAATGTAATCTTGATTGCCGATTGCATGCTGCAATCGGACATTGTGCCTTTTAGTTTCTTGCTTTGCACGCCAAGCAATCTGAACGGTTTGATCTGTGTCCTTTCTTGTTCACCTCGAGTCTCAGCTGGCGAGTCCCAGCTGGCGTGTCGCGTGGTGCTCGCAATGTTCGTTTCAGTCACAGGTTGAAGATTAGGGGTTAGGGTTTGGCGATGTTCCGAACAGAGGGACCCCTAGAATTCTGGAAGTCCACTGTCGGGCCAGGGCGCAGACCTGCCGTCCGATCCGCAGCGATCCTCGATCGGGGGCACCTGGACGAGCTCGGGCAGCCAGCTGCAAAGCGCGCAGAGCTCGGGAGCAGCCCCCTCGGCCTACCAGCTGCCCAGGTGTGAAGCAGCAATATTTGTTTTTCTTCTTCTTGAAGAGGCGTCCGCAAGTGTTTTCTTTCCTAAAGCGCCCCAAAACAAGGGGCCGGCGTCCTCCCCCCTTCTGGGGTCTTACCACTGAGCAAGGTTGAGCGCGCCTTCTCGGGGCAAAGCGGATGTGGGCAAGGCGGATCTTGGCAAGCTGCCCTAGAGCTCGAGGGGTCCAAGCATTGGCGCGGATGGGGCTGAGCAAGCGGAAGAAGCCACCTGTTCGTACAGGACACATAGGAACCCACAAGGGGATGGGCGAGCATTTTTGTAAGGCTTGCCATTCACTAGCCCGTCATATCATTAGTATGGCCCAACAGTTGAGTCATAGCCAAACCTTCACGCACTACATGATTGCATCATGAATGTCTTGCTTTGCACGCCAAGCAATCTGAACGGTTTGATCTGTGTTCGAGTCCCAGCTGGCGTGTCGCGTGGTGCTCGCAATGTTCGTTTCACTCACAGGTTGAAGGTTACGGATAAGGGGTTTGGCGATGTTCCGAAAAGAGGACCCCTAGAATTCTGGATTCCCACTGGCGACCTGCCGTCGGGCCAGGGCGCAGACCTGCCGTCCGATCCGCAGCGATCCTCGATTGGGGGCACCTGGACGAGCTCCGGCAGCCAGCTGCAAAGCGCGCAGAGCTCGGGAGCAGCCCCCTCGGCCTACCAGCTGCCCAGGTGTGAAGCAGCAATATTTGTTTTTCTTCTTCTTGAAGAGGCGTCCGCAAGTGTTTTCTTTCCTAAAGCGCCCCAAAACAAGGGGCCGGCGTCCTCCCCCCTTCTGGGGTCTTACCACTGAGCAAGGTTGAGCGCGCCTTCTCGGGGCAAAGCGGATGTGGGCAAGGCGGATCTTGGCAAGCTGCCCTAGAGCTCGAGGGGTCCAAGCGTTGGCGCGGATGGGGCTGAGCAAGCGGAAGAAGCCACCTGTTCGTACAGGACACATAGGAACCCACAAGGGGATGGGCGAGCATTTGTGTAAGGCTTGCCATTCACTAGCCCGTCATATCATGAGTATGGCCCAACGGTTGAGTCATAGCCAAACCTTCACGCACTACATGATTGCATCATGAATGTCTTGCTTTGCACGCCAAGCAATCTGAACGGTTTGATCTGTGTTCGAGTCCCAGCTGGCGTGTCGCGTGGTGCTCGCAATGTTCGTTTCACTCACAGGTTGAAGGTTACGGATAAGGGGTTTGGCGATGTTCCGAAAAGAGGGACCCCTAGAATTCTGGATTCCCACTGTCGACCTGCCGTCGGGCCAGGGCGCAGACCTGCCGTCCGATCCGCAGCGATCCTCGATCGAGGGCACCTGGACGAGCTCTAGCAGCCAGCTGGAAGGTTCGGGAGCAGCCCCCTTGGCCTACCAGCTGCTCAGGTGTGAAGCGGCACGCTTTTGCTGTCCATTTGTTGAGAGAAGGAAGGGCTGGGTGTCATTCAGCATTCGCTATCGAGAAGTCGCCCACGCCCACAAAAGGGGGTCGGGCTTTTCTTCCCGGCCGGTGGACCACTGGGCAAGGTTGAGCCTGCCTTCTGAGAGCAAAGCGGACGTGGGCAAGGCAGATCTCGGCACGCTGCTCTCAGGGGCGGTTCCAAGCTCTGGGACGGTCCGGGGCTGAGCATTTTCGGCGACAGAGGAGCGAGGAGGAAACAAACATGAGCCGAGCTAGTCATAGCCAAGCCTTTCACGCATTTTTTCACCAGGATTGTCAGGCCCTGTCTGAGGCCGACCTTGGAAGTTGCGTCTAGTCCTTCCCCTGTTTGACAAATACAACCTGTTGCTAAGCATTCTTTTCCCAGACTCTTAGTAAACTCATCACGCAGGTGCACACACTGCTTGCACATTGCGCCCTTTACATTTTGATTTGCATGCCAAGTCTGTTCGGATTTCATCTGTTTTATCTCTGATTTGCCTAAGCTGCACCGAGCTTTCCATGGAAGAATCTGCTTTACTTGGGGATTCCGTAGCTCAGGTCAAGCGTACCGGCGCCTCCCCACAGGGCCGCGGCGTTTCTCGCGCAGCTTCCCTCCAGTTGCCGGTGCGACGCTTCAGCAGCCTCAAGAAGTCGAACACGCTGGACGAGCGGGACGTGCGCGCAGCCAGGCCAAGCAATGGTTTGCTCCACTTTTCTGGGTTGCCTCCCTGACATGTTTTGGAGAAGCAACAGTTGTTCGCAGCCCTGTAAGATCACTTGGCCTCGCCAACAATGGATAGCACAGGACCTTTTCACGCCAAAAGCTTGTTTCAGGATGAGGGGCCACCCTTTTGAACAGGCAACCCCTGGCCAGTTCGTTTCAGCGGGGGTTGAGAGCTTTTGGGCGGGGGGGGGATTGTCACAAAGTTCTGCTTTGAAACCCGCGGAGCTGCGGCCTCAATGGCTGAGAAGTCTGCAGTAGGAGTCAATGCTGACTGGCACAGGAGTTGTACCTGCATGGATTAGAGCAGCTTTTCTTTTAAAGATCATGGGCTCCCACTGGAGGTAGTGGCGCCCCGCGCGTGGCTCGCGCCTTCCAACGCCTCGCGCAAGCCGAGGTACGGGACCTGAACCTGAGGTTTTCTGAGCGAGTGGACGTGGTGGACATCAGCCCTGCCGCGCTGAGCGAAGAAGGGCACCTGGTCTTTGTGGAGGGCAGCCCCAGCCCGCGGACCAGGAGCGAGTCGGCCGGAGCTCATGTTCTATGGCACCTGTGTTAGCCACGTGCAGCTGTGAAGTCTGGTGCTGTGGATGGACGAAATCCGTTGAAGCCATGGGAAACCATTGTTGGTTGGCATTTGCACGGGAATCATCAATCATTCCGGGGTTTCTTAAGTCTTAGGTCGTGCAGGATTTTCATCCACAGCAACGATGCTCGCCGGCTGAGGAGCGGTTCGCCCACCTTGCACCTCACAGCCCCGGGCGCATCCAAGGGGCGTAGCCCAAGTTCGCAGGCCTCGCGCATGGGAGGCGCAGAGGGTGGGGGGCAGCAGGGGGAATTGAAAGGATGCGGGAGGTGTTCCATTAGTTCCCTTCTTCCCTGTCGTTTGTCATGTCTTGCAACATCAAGACCTTGAACACGCTAAACAATCAACCTGCCAAAGACGACCCATCAGTAGCACACATGTGGTGTTTTGCATTACCAACTTGGACATTTGGTTCTTCCTTTGCACGATCATCCTGGATCAGCGACCTTCTGAAAGGCCGTGCCTAGTGCGCGGGACACGGCGGTTTTGTCTGTTGCTGGTCGCAGCTGTCACCAGATTTGTAGACCTCCTTGACTTGAAAGGGATTCTCCCTAAAGCAAAGGAGGCGCTCTAAACTACTGTTTACGGAAGACATAAAGACATACTGCACCGCCTAAACGAGAACATTCTCATCAAGCTCGCGCTCCCTCGGAAATGTAGGCACGCGCAACTGCGGAATGGACAAACATCCAGCACCACCCTCACGGGTCACTGTTCAACATTCAGCTGGGGGCGCGGGCTCGCGCCCTATGACCTTTATGCGGGTCACACCCTGAGGCGGTTCAGGATTTCTTCCGTACACCGTCGCCGTCGGAATAATTTTAAATGCATTTTTGAGAGCAAGGGGTGGTTGTAGGATCTAGCTATTTTACCCTATTGCGGCGCCCACACACAACCACACAACCACAATCACAACCACAACCACAACCACAACCACACACACACACAAGAACATAACAAAACAAATCTGGAGTCCAAGTTGGCAGGTGCAGTTTTGGCATCTCCTGGGAGCAGTGCTGCAGCTGCTGCCGTCGCAGCCTCTCGCAGCGCAGCCCTGGCCCAGGCGGGTCCAGCGAGATCACTTCGGCAGTTTCAATCATCGCCTCTTTGCCAGTTGTCCTGGTGGGGTCTTTAAAGGGCACATGTGGCCCTGTCAGGCTCCTGGCGCCGGGACTTCGGGCGCCGCAACTTCTAAGATGTCAGCTGCAGGCAGCGCAAGTTCTAAGACTTCAGCTGCAGGAAGTATGCCTGACACCGGGACTTCGGGTGCCGCAACTTCTAAGACTTCAGCTGCAGGCAGCATGTCGGGCACAAGGCAGGGTTCAGGAATGGGTTTGCCCACCAAATGGAGGAGACGCCTTCTTTTTGGCTGCCTTTCCCTAAACAAACGAAACACTTGCATAGATGGACCAGGCGACGGTCGGATTGCCGTCATTGACTCACAATACGACATGCGTGTGGAGTCCGATGTGGTGTGCAAGAAAAGCAACAAAACACGGGCAATCTAACCGCACTCCTGGCCAAAGGCGCAAGCCCACGTACAGCCCGGAAATGAGGCCCCTGAGACTATGGGACCCATTTGCACCTGCAGAACAAGGGTGCATGCGCATGTTTCAGGCACACGAAGTCATGCCTGACAGTTCGTTTCGGCAGAATCGCATGCCGCAGCAAACATCACCCAAGTTGACGGGTATGCTGAACTTACTTCCGCCGGCAATCTGCGCCGGTTATTCCTGTTGAGCTTTCACATCATGAGCACGCGGGTGGTGCTCAAGATCAACACTTGCTTCCCCACCAGAGGATTATAGGGATACCCACCCTCTTAATTAAACAGGGCAGTGCTGCGGGGGGTGTTTGGACAAGAGTTGCATTTGCTTATGATACTTTGGGACATGTTCTGCCCTTGACTGCAGTCGCGCAGGCCGCTGCCAAGCTCCAGCCCAGCTGCGCTTGGTGTCGCACGATCCGGCGCAAAGTCGGACGTGTCGAGAGGTGGGCTGGCCGCCCAGCCCGGCAGATCCGATGTTCAGAGCGGAGCTGACGCCAGGCCTGTTGGCACCCACGCCGCCGGCTCAAAGCCGACCACCAGCTATCCTGGCAGCGCTTCGGCCACTTCGGCCACTTCGGCCGCTTCGGCCGCTTCGGCCGGCCACAGGCCGAGCACGCCCAGCACGAGCGCTGGCATGCTCTCCGGGCCGTCCCGATCCGGGCCGCCGCGAATGCAGCGGGAGGTGCCGCTGTATGCTCAGCCAGTGCCCTCCGAACAGGCGCCTGCTGCGAGAAACCCGCCGTCGCGGCCCATGCCCACGCTGAAGTCTGCCAAGTCCAAAAGGGAGACTTCAGATGCCCAAGCGCAGCATCAGCATGCGTCCGGTGCAGCCCCACGGTTTAATGATGCAGCTCCAGCTGCCACAAAGCCAGAGCAAGGTGGCCACGTGAAGGAGCACCAAGGCGGCCAGGCGAGTGCACAGGCCGGCAATGCGCACACCAACCGTGCAGGGCAGGTGCCTAGCACAGGATTCCTCACCTTCCAGTCCTTCTCTCAAGTGGTGCTTCAGCCTGGCGTGCACGGGGGTTGGTCAATAGAGCCGGCAACACCCCCCAGAGCCACCACGCCCCCCAGCCAAGGCCAAGAAGCCAACCCTATTGCGGCCCTGGCCAGGTATTTGTTCCAAATGGGAAAGCCAAACGATGGGGGCCAGACACCCCCAGGCCACGATCACAAGAATCACAGCGCTACTTCCGGCGACAACCCATGCGACCTGAGCCACAAACCGGCGGCTGATATTCAGCCAATCCAGACAGTAATCAATTGCCCGAGTGAGTTGCATTCTGAGAGGCCTCACCATCACCACACGCACCGGCACAGCAAGAAGACCAGAAAACACAGGCGTCATCACGCAAGCCACTGTGACAGTGACCAGCCTCCGAGCTGTATGGGCAACTTGGAGAAAATCCTTGCCAGCTCAAAGGCCATGTACGAGGCCAATCCAGGCAACGCTTGTGAGGCACCTTGAATGCAGCATGCATTTGGTGCACGAGTGGCTGGAGGGAGGGGCTAGTGCAGATATAGTTTAGAGGGCTTAGGGAAAGAAGGCGATGTTGAAGCATTCACAGGATCATTCAGGATTCGGAACTGGCACACGGCCCGAGCTTTGAGTGAGTTTGCAAACTTGTGTGCTGGTCAAAGCACCCTTTTGCTTGTTTCTTGTTCAGGATGGTCATCGACCCCTTGGGGATTTAGACAACCGTGGTCGGGGTTCCTAGGGCTCAGCCCAGTTTGTAGCTCTTTTTGTTGCTCCCTGCATCTTCGCCTTGCGGAGAGCCACAGCGTCTCTTACGTTGTTATTGCTTTTTTGGGGGCCCCGCATGTGGGCCTTGTTTTCCGAAAACGCCACTTTGCCGAGGGCCCGGAGGTCACTGATGAGATGGTAGTCACCGCTCAGCGGGGAGGACTTCCCCCGGACCTGGAACGGAGGGTCCTGGAGCGGGCCTACTTCCTTTTCCTAAACGGCGTCTCAGACGATCAGTGCAGGCGCGGCAAACACAAATTTCTACGAAACTGCCCCCCGCGGCCTTAGGGAAACCGACAAAAGCAAGTTTCTAAACACCTGCGCCTGGCGGCAATTTCGGGAAACCAAAAAAATAGCTAGGGGTTTAAGCCTGTGTGCGCAAGGGCTCGGCGCATTGCTGGCAGGAACTATTTTGAGGCGTTGCGGATCGAGCTGGGCCAGATGATCAATGATCACTGCATGGCCTGAGTGAGCTGATTTAACCTCGCCTGGTTTCAAAGTTGACCGGCAGCAGCCAGATTCTGCGTGTGCAGAGCCCGTATTGTCCGATCTCTTAGTTGTCATAGATGAATACTGTACTAGTTCAAGGTGTTGAGTTTCTTGGTGTCATGTGAAGTTCCAACGGGTCGACCAACGCTTGCCGGGCGTTGTCAAGACGGAGCGCCGTGTCAGCAGGCTATTTAATTCGCGCGGGATGTTCAGGCGACAGCTGACATTCTTAGCGTGCAATGTATTTCTCCAGTTTCAAGCCCCACCGCTTTAAGTGGTGTTCCATCTGCCTCAAGCAAGCAGACACACAACTCGAATGCAAACACAGCATGGGGGCAGGAGAAGGGATGCAAATATAATGTTTCAAACATGTTACACAAGAAATTAGGAACTTATTGAAAGGCACCAGGCACGGAAACAAAGCGAGTCTGGGAAGGGCTGACATGTTGTCCAGGTTGTTGGTTTTGTGATACTTGTATTTTGCAGACAGTCCTTTGCTGGCCTGGCGTATGGTTGCGCATGAAACTTTGAAGCTTTGGCGCAGTGTTCTAGTTTCCCGAATTCCCCCTGCATTTGCAGTTTTGTTATGGTCAAATACTTTCTAAGAGTCGGGAAGTGATCAACCCTTGGGATGCATCACAGAGGCATGGATCAACTGGTACTGGTCAGTTGCTTGTGAGTGCCTTTCCCTTGTGGCCCGCCAAACGTCCTTGTTTAGGTTGTTGCTTCCTCATGCGACAGCTCCGGGGATGCCGGGCTAGTCCTTGTGGCGGGTTCCGGCAGGTTGGTGAGTTGTGGCCGCTCCGGCTGCTCTGGAAGCTGTGGAGCTTGAGAAGCTTGCGCCTGGTGGTTCAGCAGTGCCGCCAAATGGCGTAGTGCCATGGACAGGGGCCGAGAACCCATGCCAGCGCCTCAAAACTTTGAAGAGGGCCATAGGAACGGACTTTGGACCCAAAATGGCGGACGACTCCTGGTTTATCTTGCACTTTTTGCACCCATGTGGCTTGAGAGGAAAAGAAGCCTGTTGACCCGCCGGGTTCACAAATCGCTTGCTTGTCACCGTCAGCTCTTCGAAGATTTCAACGGATTGAGACCAAGGGTTCCGCCGAATCATGCTGCTAACCCCATTTGCCCTTCGTGTCCAAACCATTCGGCCTTGCTTTCAAAGGGCGCCAGGGGTGGTTTCTTTTGCATCCCTTGGTTTTCCACCAAAAGGGGTGCTTCAGTGGGAATCTTTGGCTTCCCTTTTGGTGCCCCTTTTGGAGAATTGCAGCCTTTCAGCTGCGGGCAGCTGCGGGCAGTGCAGCTGGGGTGGGAGAAGCTCACCGCAGGCACGCCCCAAGGGCGGTGCTCCCCCCTGCCGTGGCGCGGATCTTCGAGCGCGCCGACCGGGCGGGGACCCCGCGTTGGCCGGGAGAGAGTCGGCCCCTTGCAGAACCAAAGAAAGAAAGAAACAAACCTCCCACCAGCCAACATGGAAGTGCACAGACCCCTGTAGAAGGACGACTTTCCGTGCACTTTCATGTTAGTTGGTGGGAGGGTAGACGACCTGGCAACATGCGCCAACAATGAAGCAACTTGAAACAGCCGAAAAACAAAAAATAAACAAACTATGGTGAAGATATGGTAGAGACCGTGTTAGTGCTTGTTTTTCGCATCCCTGATCTGGGACGAGCGAGACCTGCTCGACGATGCTGGAGAGAGAGAGAGAGAGAGAGAGAGATGGTAGAGACATCCGTTGTTGCTCGTCCGTTACCCGACACATTTCCCCCAAACCGACTTGTCTTTGAAGGCCTGCCGCTCGTTGCATTTTTCAACCATCCATAGCAGTTACATTGAGGCATCAAAGGGAAATCACAAGGAGTTCCTTCTTTGAGGGAACTGGGCTTTGAGAGACAAAGCCGTGTGAAGGCATTCCTAGGAAGCGGTTTCCTTGGACAAGATGGAGATGTCCGCGAAAAAATGCCAACCCCCGCCTACCCCTAACAAGACCCGGCAATTCAGGGTTTGGAAATGCTTGGAGATGTCTATCCAGCATGACCTTCCAGCCATGTTTCAAATTGTTTGGGCCTCTGACACTATTCCGCACAGGTAGAAATAAGATGAATGAGAGTGTTCGGCATTGGCTGTTCGTTGTTTGTTCGTTGTTTGGGCATTTGGTAAGAGGCAGGGTGCTGTGCTGGAAGTAGCGGAAGTACTGTCGGTGGCTTTGCGAGGCGGGCTTCGCTCGCTCATTGGTGAGCAACCCTTCAAAGAGCCAACCAGAATCAGCAATTGTTATTCAACTGGGATGATGACTGACAGCGACGAGGGCAAGTTTTGGTAGACTCACCGCAAGCGGGCATGGCAGCCGAGCAGGCTGCAATTGCGAATGTATCGAGAGCACCTCCTGCTTGACATGTTGCACATGGAAGGGCTTTGCATTCCCTGTCCCCTTCAAGTGGCGGGTTTGTAATAATAGGAACAATGATACCAATTGTGTATATTATATATATATATATGTGTGTGTGTGTGTGTATGTATACGTATAAATGTACATGATTCCACCAGGGCCAACAGCTATATAACATGACTCATTTGGTTGGCATCATGCTGACGGGTTCTGCTCTTCGGCGAGGAACTGCACGTGATAAGATGAGCTGCGGCCTTCTTTTGCGCCTTTGTCACAAGGTAAATGTGCCTACGCGGAGGGGTCGGAGCCTGTCCCCTTCCGCTTTTGCCTCTTCCCGTCAACCAGGTTCTTGCAAGCTTATACTAAGGTGGTTTGTAATTGCAACATATTGCAACCCTTTGTTGGTGGCCGCCAGGGTTGGGACAACCCGTGTTAAGACTTGTTCGTTCAACCGCAGTCGAACCAACCTTTGTAAGTCCTTAAGGCCATGGCCCGTTGCTTTAAACCAACCGCGGCGGCCGCCCAGTTAGAGCCGCTCTTCGCGCACCGCGCGCACAAGGGCCAGCGCGCGGCCCTTGGAGTCGACCGATGCGGATCTGGATCTCCTAAAGTGGGCATGTAGGGAATTGTCCTTTTGTTTTCCATTTAAAGCCACGCCCAAAAAAAGGAACCCTCCAAAAAGCAATACCCATGGGAAGATATACTTATATATATATATATGTATTTACTACCCAATTTGCTTTTGCGGGGTATGTCCCTTTCAGCCACCATGTTGAGAGTAATTTTGAGGACCTCACTTTAATGGACCCTGATGAGAACATGCCCAAACGTCCTAGCCAGGCGCCTTTTGAGCTCGGTGGAGTCTCATTTTGTGGGGTTGCCCATCTCTTTCTCAACCAGTGGGAGTGGACGGTCTGGTCCTCAACAAGCCCCAAAGCCAAGGCCTGGGAAAGTGAAGTCGGTGTCAAATCTTTGGCACCAATCTAGGGTTTGATTCCCCATTCTTTTCAACCATCGTTCTTTCCAAAAACCGGCTGTTTTCCCTGGGTTTCCGGAGGTTTCCTAGAAAGAAGGATCCCTGGAAATGGGGAAGGTACCCCTGGAACCAAGCCCCTTTTCGGGTCTCAAGAAGCTTCGAC